GGCTGCTTGGACTTGTAAAGATCTTCCATATTTATTAAGATTCTTAATCATGCTCTGATTTTTTTTCTTTTATTTTCTTTTCTTTTTCTTTTTTTTTTTTTTGAGACAGGGTCTCTCTATGCAGTTTAGGCTGGCCTTGAGCTCACTTTATAGCCCACGCTGGTCTCGAACTCACAACTATCCTCCTGCCTCAGCCTCCCGAGTGCTAGGATTACAGGCGTGAGCCATCACACCCAGCTATGCTCTGATTTTTTTTTTTTGTGACACACATCCGAAAGTCTTGGGCTACTATTAGCATCCATACCATAGCTATGGTATTATAATTGTCACAATTCAAGGTTGTATGTTCAGAGGTTAGTGTATTGAAAGAATAGGGACAGTCTGAAAGGTCTAGAAAATTATAGCAGTCTCCCCAGTATATTGGAAGTTCACTCTTCAATTAGTGTAATTTACTATTTTCAGACTGGTGTTTTCTTTCCTAGCATACTTTATCAGTACGTATTAGGAGGCATTAAATTTAAATGCTTTTCTTTCGTAAATTAGGAGGGGAAGAAGAGTTGAAAGGAGGGGAGGGGATTGGAGGGAAAAAGATATTAGTGGTACAGATTCTTTGTGATGAATGTGATCATTATATACGAGTACCTAAAATACACCGATAGTTATAAAAAATTATAAAAATGTGCAATAAAAAATGTAAACACTTTTATTCTTTTGACTGTAATCATTCCTTTGCATCTTGTGTAGAATTCTATTGGTTATTATTAATCATTTGTTCACTGACATTAAATAAAAATAAGAATCTGTTTTTGGATGGGATTTAGATTCTTTTTTTGCCTTGATCCTTAGGATTAAAGCTAGGCTCTTCTCAATGAGCATCTCCAGTTTTTCTCTCATTTTTTCATTTTGAGACAAGGTCTTGTGAACTCATTAAGCCCGTCCAGGCTTTGACTTGTGATGCTCCTGCCTCTGCCTCCCAGAATGCTGGAAATACAGGCCTGTGCCACCACGCCCAGCTCCTTTTCTATTATTTTACTTTCTCTTAACTGTTTATCTTGATTTTTAACACTATCACATCAAAGTATATCTCATCCAAAGCAGCTTAGCTCTTCATTCATTCATTTGTGCATTCATTCATTGTGGCTTTGGAAATTGAACCCAAGACCTTTGCACTAAGCTACATCCCCAGCAAATTTTTTGAATTTAGCTATTTTGGCTAAGTTGCCAAGTCTAGGGTTGAGTTTCTAATCCTTCTACCTCAGCTTCCCAGAGTGTCGAGATTATAGGCCTGAGCTACCATATCTTTATTTTTTTGAGTTTGAATCGTGAAGTACGTAAAAGATATTTGGGCTGGTTAAACCTGTTCATTTTATCCAGTAATCTGAATGTTTTTCTTGTTTCTTACTAGGAACCTCATAATCCTTGACAAGCATTAGTCTTAGGGGTCATGAGACTCCTTGAAGGTTCTGACAACACTAGAGAAAATAAGTGGTGTTTTCTGCCATTCTTACTTATTTTCTATGTTTTCTTCTGTGTCAGAATATCTTTATCCAGGATCTGAACTCTCTCAATAAAGGTAGAAATGTGATTTTTTTTTTCTTTTCCATTTTTTATGAATGTAGAACTGTTTGGTTGTTCTTGAGGGAAATTATATCTGTTTACATATTACTATTTTAAGGTGTTTCTGGAATACCTAAAGTGAACATGGCATGTGTAATGTTTTTTGAAAATGAAACTATTATATATATACTTTTTGGTTTTTAATTAAATATTTAAAAATACTGTTAAATTCAAATGTGCAAAAAAATACATATATGTATATATTTTAGAATTTAGCATTTGACCTTGGCATGGTGGTGCATGCTTGTAATACCAGCTGTGTATGAGGCAGGAAGGTTACCAGTTCCAGAATAGCCTGGACTATGTAGTAGACTCCTCCCCGACAAAGGATTTAGCAATTGGACTGGTTATAGTTTTTTGAAATGTGAGTTAGCATTTTAAATTAAGGAAAATCTTTTTAAAACTTTCTTTCAAATGGTGTGTTTTTAATAATGTGTAACTCATTGTTTTGACACTCAGACACTACTCTAGTACAGTTTGACCTTTGCTCATAATTGTTTAGCTTGTTACAACAAGGCCTTAATTTGTATGTCTCACTGCTGAGTAGCTTGAGCCACTGGTGGTACGAGCATGACATCAGATGACATGGGATGGTCTCGCTGGGTGGTCTTAGCTGCCCGAAGGAACAGTTATGCATGCACAGTTGTGGTTCGTGCTGGTGGGAACATGTGAAGTTAGCTTTGTCTCTTAGACTTGGGTACATAGATGTTTAAAGAACCAGCCTTTCCCATGACAGTATTGGCAAGGAAAACAAAATCTATTTTATTAAAGAAGAACTTTAAAGTCTAGAAAGGTGCCAGGGTATTGGTGCTTGACTTTTTTTTTTTTTTTTAACTAATGGAGCTTTGGACTGTGATTGATACTCTTGAGCTGACACTTAGAACTTTCTAGTTGACAGTGAAAGTTTAACTTTCTAGTTGACAGTGAAAGTTTAAGTATTACAGAACAAAATAAGTTGGATTGACTAGTGTTTTTTAGGGATATGATCATTGTTTTCATCGTTTTATTTATTGTCATTCTGATATATATTTTTTGAAATGTTAGAGATTGAATCCAGGGTCTTTTTTTTTTTTCACTTTTTGAGATATTTTGAACATGTGATTCTCCTGCCTCAGCCTCCCAAACTGCTGGATGACAGGCAGGTGCCACTACATGCAACTTTATTTTACTTTTATAAGAATCTGTAAAGCCACAAAGAATATGTTGCTTAAACCTGAATTCATTGGGAAAGCCAGATTGTGTTTTAAAAATGCATACAGGTATGGATTTTATCTTAGTTTCATGTGATGTAAGTAAAACATTAAGTCTGACAGGTTGGTGTACTTTAGGAATTGACAAGCTGGGATGGTGTACAGCTCTGGTGTAGGAGATACTTTTGAGTGTCACACTCAGGTTACCACTAATTAGAAAAACTAAAGTAGATAAAACTATCTCTGCTGCCTTTCTACCATTTGTCTTCTGTTTATAAACCCTAGGTTATTTTTTTTTTTCTTTTTCGTTTTTATCGGTATCAGGGATCGAACTCATGATTGCATATTTGCAAGGCAGGTGCTTATGCCACTGAGCTAAATCCCCAGCCCCAACCATAGGTATTTCTTTGCTTACATTTTGCATTTGCCAACAAAATGATGTCATACTTTTTTATGTTCTCAGTTTACAAGAAGATCTGTATTAAAGATACTCATGAAAAGATTAGTAGAGGAGTTGATGATTTTTTGGCTTTTTTTGGGGAGGAGGTTGGTCTTGCTGTGTTGTCCAAGCTGGCCTCAAGTTTGCTATGCTGGTGACCCAGCCTTCCAAGTAGTTGGGATTAAAGGTGTATGCCACTGCCCCCAGCTTTGCTGGCTAGTGGCTGGGTTGTAGAGAAAGGTTCCGAGAGGAGAGGTGATAGCTGTCCCATCACCCTCCTTGTTGTTTCTTCACTGCTGACACAGAACAGAGAGTGCTTTATTTACTCATTTATTTTTGCTTTTATGATACAGGGTCTTTTATGTAGTTCAAGCTGGCCTTGAGCTTACTTTGTACCCCAGGCTGGCCTCAAACTTATGGTGATCCTTCTACCTGAGCCTGCCAAATGCTAGGATTATAGGCATGCACCACTATACCCAGCTCTTCATTTATTAGTTTTCTTTGGGTACTGTGGGCTGAACCTAGTGGCACTGTGGCATATCCCTCTTTTTTTTCTGTAAACAAGAATAAATTTATTAAATTTGTTTTAAAGATTTAATGATATACAAAATGTATATAGTATATCTTTAGTAACATACTTCTTTCTCCCCATCAGTATTAAAACACTATTTAAACAGCTTATTCTGCTTGCCTGGTCTGTATCTATGAGATACACAACTGAATACAAATAAGCTTTACGCTGTTCCCTTCCAAATGAAAATTAAAAGTAGTATCTAGGAAACAAACAGAACAAAATAAAAGAAAAAAATCAAAGCAGGTGAAACATTTTTCTTGTTGAATATCCAGAAATATGAGGGGCAGTTAAATTGCATTTTATTGGCCTAAATTTGCATTGTAGTCTCCAAACATCACGCAATGATGATCTGACTCAATTCATTTCTTAAATAAGTACCACAAACAACGTTCAAGTTCATATGTCCCTACACAATCTTAAATATAAACTAGAGCTCATATATGTGTACTGGTGGTATGCTGTCCCTAAAATCTTCAGAGTAAGAGCAGCTAGCAGGTAGGTCATCACTCCTGCTAAGACTCCTCCCGGGAAATGCCCCTCGGCAGGAGTTATGGTCTCCTTTCACCATGGCTTTTTTCTGCTTAACAATGATTTGATAAAAAAAGGTTTTTGAGACAGAGTCTTGCTTAGATGTTCAGCCTGGACTTGAACTTAAAATCTTCCTGCCCCAGTTTTCCAAGTAGCTACTGTTAAAATCATGGGACAGGGGACTGAGGGTTTAGCTCAGCGGCATATGCACCTGCCTTGCAAGTGTGCTGTCATTAGTTTGATCCCTGGTACCGATAAAAAACGAAAAAGACAAAAAAAAAAAAAATCATGGGACATTATGCCTGTGTAGTGTGTTATTTATAGTACTTCTGCAGGCTGATGCCAAACAGCATCTTAAGGGCTAGATATTACTCTTTCACTGTTACCATTTAAGAAAACAAATAAATGTAGACCTAGTCTGAGATTCTTGATAGCCTCAAGAAATAGGGGACACACTAGTTACAGAAATAAACAAAAAGGAAAATCCCACTTGTGGTACGTACATGCTGTTTGTTTTCGTAGTAGGCTGTGTTTTGGTCACTTTTTAAAGTAATGCTTTTGAGGGTTGGATTTTTCTGTAATAGAGTTAACTTTGTTCTGACATCATTGTTTGAAAACATTTAAAATTTTTGTTTTCTCTTTGACTGACTAGATGTGATGCAGACCCTTCAGCCTTAGCCAACTATGTTGTAGCATTGGTCAAGAAGGACAAACCTGAAAAAGAATTGAAAGCCTTTTGTGCTGATCAACTTGATGTCTTTTTACAAAAAGGTAATTATTGTGGGTCTTCTGCTAAGTATGTATGTATGTATTTATTTATTTTTGGTTTTTTGAGACAGAGTCTCACTATGTATTCCAGGCTAGTTATGAACGTTAGCTGGCCTCAGACTAACAGTGATCCTCCTACCTCAGCCTCCTATGTGTGCCACCGTGGCCAACATCCACCAAGTATTTAGATAGAGATTTTGAATTTAGAACTTGTTAAAGATACAAGCTTTATGGTAAAGAAGGAGTTAGGTTTCTTTAAATATACATTCATGCTTACTTTTTCTCTTGTGCTTGGAAGAATAAGTTTTTCCCCCCATCCTTTTTTTTTTTTGCAGACAGGGTCGTTCAAGCTGGCCTTGAACTCACAATTCTCCTGCTTTAGCTTTCAAGTGCTAGGTGCTGTTACACCCAATTTGCTTTTTTCCTGTATTGACCAAATGGCAGCTGTCATACCTTTTACATCCTTCACAGCTTTTGGCTGCACCCAGTTGATGGTCTAGGAGTAACAATTTAAGGATGTTGAAACTGCTGATCTTGTTAAGACAATCAGTCTTAACATCAGTCTTAGTCCCTCTATTCTGGGGCTTGCTTATTTGTAAGAAGAGCTGGGTCTTTTATCTTTTCTGTTTCTTTCCCGTTTTCTTACCAATGTTTTTGCCATGGTCTACAGAGCTTCCATGAGGTTTCCCTTGCTGTCTCTCTAACATTTCCTGCCTCTCGGCTTGCCTTTTTTCCATCTTGCTACATTGACTATATTATTGCTTTCAGTAAGTGCAAACATGTGCACAACTCAGATATTTTGAACTCATTTTACCCTTGCTGAAACATGGATTTCTCCTTCATTTATTTATGGTCTCTTTTCAAATGTCATAAATGGATTTTTTCCCTTGAGTGCCCTTTGTACAAGGCAAAACACCCACTGCTTCTAGTCTCTCAGTCCTTCCTCAGCTTTGCTTTATGTTTTGCAGCTGCACTTGTCAGTCTTATATGTTTATTTACCTGTTTATCACCTCTCCCAACATTGGTCTTTCCGTGTGGAAAGTGGAGACTCCGAACTTACAGTATTGGGCAAATAGAAACTCAGTATGGAATTGATGAATAGGAATGTGGATAACAACAGTTGATCCAGCTGTTGGTGATGAGAAAATATCTTTTAACTCAAATACGTACTAAGGAAGAAAAGATAGTAAATATGGTTTCTTAGAAGTACATTTTTTAATGCATTTTAAGTAGTTTGTAGAAAAACAAAATCACAATTCATATATGTAGAATTCCTCCCCACTATAAATGAGAATTTTCTAAAAGTACTAATTTTTCTATTACCCCACTAGCATAATAAAGCTGCCTTCTGAAGTCCAAAAAAGTACTAATTTACAGTAAAAATGAGTCATGTGAAATAGCCATAAAAAAAAAACAAAGTAAAGATACTTGGGGTCAGAGGCACATGTATATTTATACACCTAAGAACTTGTTATAAAAAGGCTTGCAAGGGTTTTTAGCAACAATTTGTATTATAAAAGCAATATATATGAGGAAGAACTTTACATTTTAAAAAGGTTAAATTAATCAGCCATAACTTTACCACAAGAGACAAAAACATTTATGTGTATAGCTTTCTAGATTAGCACTGCCCAGTAAAACTTTGTGTGGCGATGGATATGATTTATATGTATATTTTCCATTTTAGTAGGTATTAGCTAATCAGTACTTGAAATGGGGCCTATAAGGCCAAGATCCTGATTTTTTTTTTTTTTTTTTTGTCTTTTTCATTTTTATCGGTACCGAAGATGGAGCTCACAACCGCCTGCTTGCAAGGCAGGTGCTTATGCTGCTGAGCTAAATCCCCAGCCCCAAGATCCTGATTTTTAAATAGCCACTTGTGGCTAGGTGGCCACAGTATTGGACTGTTAGACAGTGTAACTCTTAGACTTACACCTGTGCTTATGTTGTATGTTAAAGTAATGTACTTTTTGTTTTGCTTTGTTTTTATGTATTGGGGATTGAATCTAGGGCCTTGCTTATGCCATCCAAGTGCTGTACCACTGAGCTAGTTCCCTACTCTAATATACTTTTAAAAAGATCCAACAGTGCATCTTGAATATTGTTTAATATTAAATGTTTACATTCCTCTTTAAAAATTGTTTATATGTCTTTCAGATTTTAAAAGTAACGTGTTATAAAAATGCAAAGGAGAATGAAGAAAGTATTTTGGTTATTAGGGATTTTGAAGGGTCTGATTCATTTATTGACTTAAGAGTACGTACAAGTTGAGTTTAGTGGCACTCACCTGTAATCCCAGAACTCTGGGTGGCTGAAGCATACGAAACAACAGACAGATAGATTAATTGACCAGTGATGCAGCTCATTGTAAACACACTGGTTCAATTCTCAGTACTGGGGAAAAATAAAAGTACATATAATCCAAGTGTATTGGTGGATCCCTATAGTTGTACCTACCCTGGAGGTTAAGCGAGGAGGGTCACAAGTTTGAGGCTAGTTTGAACAACTTAGTGAGACCATCTCTCACAAGGAAAAAAAAAAAAGAAATAAATACCTCCTCAGTGGTGGAGATATATACAATAGTTCAGTGGTAGAGCACTAGATTGGCACGTTTGAATCTCTGGATTCAGTCCCTAGTACTGCCAAAAAAAAACCCCCAAAAAACACAGTTAATGAGAACGAACATCTTTATAACTGGAAAATTGCTTACTTAACAGATTAGTAGTATAAAAGTATTTATATGAAAATGCTTTTTTGAATAATATTGTAGAAATAGCTATTTCTGTAAAATATAAAAATTGTGGTGTGAGCAAAGCCTGTGTTCAATTTTTTTTTTGGTATAAGGGATTGAACTCATGACCTGCAAGTACTTACCAGGCAAGTACTTGAGCCTATAAGCTAAATCCCTTGCCCTCTATTTTTAATATGTTCCTTAGCTGTTACTTAAGGTAGGACCAATTACACATATTTAAATTTGATTTGATTTTTTTTTTTTTTTTGGTCTTTTTCGTTTTTATTGGTACCAGGGATCGAACTCACGACTGCCTGCTTGCAAGGCAGGCGCTTATGTCGCTGAGCTAAATCCCCAGCCCCTAATTTGATTTGATTTTGATAAGACTTTGTTTTACTTACTACTTAGTGCTACTTGGAATTGAACCTAGGGGTCTTTGTACTGAGCCGCATCCCAAGTCCTTTTTATTTTAATTTTTTGTTAATTTGAGACAGGGTTTAAGTTGCTAAATTGCCCAGGCTAGACTTGAATTTGCAATCATCCTTCCTCAGCCTCCCAAAATGCCGAGATTAGAGGTTTGAGTCATGATACCTGGCTAGACACTATAAATACTTTTGGGGTTTATACTTCAGTGACTTCCATTAGTTTGAAGTTTTAAAGATAGCACCTTTAAATCATAAAAGATACTTTCATTCATTCGTTCAGGTTTTTTTAGTAGTAGTATATGTTTGCCTTTAAATAATACAGTTGTTCTGGGGAATTCGTGTATGTACATACCACATTTTAATCTTTTTTAGTTACCCTTATTTTCCTTTCCTTTGATCTGTAGATCCCCTTCCCATTTGGAAAATGTCTGCTTTCCTATTTCATATCATCCTTCTCCTATTTTGCTTTTTATTTATACTTTGGCGTTCTCATATAAAAGAAACAATGTGATATTTAAGCTTCTGTGACTGATTTATTTCACTTACCATTATGGTCTCAAAGTACCTCCATTTTCCTCTGAATGCCTCAAATCTACTCTTTTTATGGCTAAGTATTACTCCATTGTGTGTGTGTGTGTGTGTGTGTGTGTGTGTGTATATGTGCCACATTTTCTTTATCCATTCATCTGTTATGGGTATGTAGACCACTTTGAAGGTTTAGCTGTTGTGAGTTGTGTTGCTATAAACATGGGCATGTGTGTGTTAGTGTAGTCTGGGTTGAGTAGAATTATAAATTTTAATCTTTGGATGAATCTGTAGTGATCCTCATAGTGGTTGCACTAGTTTGCAATCCCAACAGTGTAAAAGGGCTCCTTTTTGAGGTTTTGGCAATTGCTATTCTTTCAGAGTAAGATGGAATCACTGTGCTGTTTTAATTTGAAGGTTTTGTGTGTGTGTGTGTGTGTGTGTGTGTGTGTGTGTGTGTGTGTACCAGGAATCAAACAGGGTCTTGCACTTGCCAGGCAGGTGCTGTGCTGCTTAACTGCATCCTTAGCCCCTAATTTGCAGTTCTTTAATGGACAAAAATGTTGAACATTTTCAAAATGTACTTATTGGCGATTTGTCCATTCTGTCGGTCCGCCTGTCTTTGTTTTTTCTGAGACTGGGTCTCACTGTGTAGCCCAGGCTGGCCTGTAACTCAGTGGCGATTCATCCGCCTCAGCCTCCGAGGAGATGGGATTACAGGCATGAGCCACCATGTGCAGCTCATCCAGTTGTATTTTTTGTCTTGAGAAGTTTCTGTTCATTTTGGTTTTTTATTTTTGGTGATTAGTGCTCCATTCAAGGAGTGGGTGGCAAGATTTTTTTTCCTGTTCTATAGATTATCTCTTTATTCTTTTGGCTTTTTCACTGTACAGAAGCTTTTAAATTTGACATAAATCCAATGGTTGATTCTTGCTGTTTTTTCTTGCATAGTTGGGGTTCTGTTCAGAAAGTCTTTGTCTATGCTTGTGTCTTCCAGAGGTGTTTTTTGGTGGTCTTGTTTGAGACAGTGTCTCACTAAGTAGTTGAGTAGTTGGTCTTGAACTTACTGTGTAGCCCAGGCTGGCCTCCAACTCACTTGCTTGTTTTTTAAAGCTTTGTTAACTATGTGTAAACATTTTTTGTTTGTTTATATAGAATTTAAATATTATTTTTTCTCTTTAGAAACTTCTGGTTTTGTGGATAAACTATTTGAAAGCCTCTATACCAAGAATTACCTTCCACCTTTGGAACCAGTTAAGCCTGAGCCAAAACCACTAGTCCAAGAAAAAGAAGAAATTAAAGAAGAGGTAATATGAAATTTTTATTTTGCTTCTGGGAGCTTATTAGGTTTTATTACCAGTATTCCTAGTTGGAAGATGAGCTTCATAGAAGTAGTTATCTATTAATTGAAGTTCCTGGGCTTAGAACATGGTACAGATACTTCATCAGGGTTTTTAGTTCCCTGGGCTTGCAGAATTGGAAAATTTTTTATTTTACTTTATTTGTTTTTAGTACCAGGAATCAAACTCAAGACCTTGCACTTGGCCAGGCAAGCTCTTGTGCCACTGAGCTAAATCCCCAGCCCTCGAAAATATATTAGGTAGCTTGTGTAGGCATCATAGAGACATTTTAAGTTCCTATGATATTGAAAAGTTCAATAAAATATTATTTAGTGACTTCTAGAAAAAAAATTACAAAAGCTTAACTGAAAATAATAATGAAAGTGAAAGAGAAATTAGTAGGTAACATTTTCATGAGTATACGGGGATCAATACTCTTTTTACCATAATTTTTAAAAAAACAATTATAACTAGATGTGGTATGCGTGCTTGTAGTCCCATGCTGAGGCAGGAGTATAGCTGTGAGTTCTGGTCTATGTAGAAAGTTGAAAACTAGCCTGAACTGCATAGCAAGACCTTGTCTTGAACAAATCAAAACAAAATGTGTAATTATAAACATCATTATTAGCATTGTTCAAAAATATAATTATTAGATGACAAGCTAGTTTAACCAAGATGGAAATTTTGCAGGGTTCACTGGTAGTTCCATTAGATGACACAGTGTATGGTAAGACTGGATTTTGTATCAGGCTACATAAGTTAAAATAGCTTTTATATTAGAAAAATGAAGGCTCATAGTATGTGGGATTAAAAGATTTTCTATACAAACATTACGTAGTTCCTAGGCCAGTGTCTGGCAAATAAATGTAAACTATTACACAGAAATCTTTTCCAACATTTGCTTTGATTAATTTTGTTCTCAAGACTAAATGAGTTTTTAAAAAATTTTTAATTTGGAAATAATTTTAAACCTTGCATAAAAATTACTAGAATACTACTCAAAGCATCCATGTGACATCTGCCCTAAGTATGTTAATTGGAGATGGCCCTGATCTCTTTACATGTTCACACTTGCAGCTTTTTTTCCGAGTCATTGATAGTAAGTCATATGCATAATGGCTCTTTACTTCTGAATCTTTGTTCATTTCCTAATGATATTCTCTAACTACAATACCATTATTTCAGTAAATTAATTTATGAGACAGGCTCTCACTATATAATGCAGGTTGGCTTCAGTAAAAGAAAACAAAATGTGGCTATATTATATTCGAGATTAACTGAGACAACTGTCACTTTGATACCGTGCACTGTGTTCTTTTTAATCCCAGCACTAGGGAGAGGCTGAGGCAGGAGGATTGTACATTTGAGCCCAACTGGGTGTGATGTTACACATCTATGATCCCAGCACTCTTATGTAGTCTCAGTACTTAGGAAGCTGAGGCTGGGGAAATCACTTCAGGTTTGTGACCAGTCTAGGCTATTGAGTGAGTTCAAGTGTTCACATCCAGCCTAAAGAACATTTTGAGATCCTGTCACGAAAAGAAAAGGAAAAGGAAAAGAATAAAGTGGAAAGCTGTTTGGGCAGTGCAACAGGTTTTCCAGACTATGTCTCAAAGTAAAAAAAGGGCCTGGGATCTAGCTCTCAGCACAGAAGTTATTGAGTCCTTTTAATTTTGAAACTCTGAAAAATAGCTAGTATGAACTTAGGTCACTTGATACTGTATGTTCCTTGTTTGTAAGATTTTATATATAACTTATGAGTAATTTCTGACCTGAGTAACAGTTTACATAATTATGCATAAAATAAATGTGATTATTAGATAATGTAAGCAGAAGTTTTTTGTGGCACATATCATTGCCTTTTTCTGGTCTTGATCTGTTGATACAGTTGCACAGAATAGGTATGAAACAAATCTAAGAATTAACCATTTTAACTTCCTTCCTTGGTCCTCAGCTGCATTATATCATTAGTTATTTTTTAATTGGACTCTTGGCCACAGGGGGATCCAGAGGAGAGAATTTGGATATTAGTGCAACTCATCCTGGTGTTGGAAAAACAACAGAAGACATATGCTATGATTTATGAAGCTCAATGTATTAATTTCTGTTTTATTTATTCCTCTCACTGTCCTAAAATTTTGTTTTGTGAAGAAACTCAACTATTTGTCCCGGGCAGTGTTTTTCTGTTTAGCTGATTGCATACCAGTGGATTAATACATCCTTTGTATTTCTTGTAAATTTGTAGAGAATGATTTTTAAGTAGTGTGATTTTATAGTGTTTGTTGGTGACATATGGTTGCCATATTATGACTCCACTTTCTGTTGCCTGAGTTTCATTAAATTGTGATCTCTTGGTTCATTGACTCACTTTTTGATATAGAGTTGCAATTGAGCTTCTCCATTAGGTGGGAGTTTAATTTTTAAAATGACTTTCACATTTGTCAAGTCAAGGCTATATAGATATCTGATTTGAAAGCAACTTTTTAAAAGGTAATGAAATCACTGGTTCTCTTTTGGTCATTCTCTGGTCATTCTTCATCTGAAAGAAGCCTTAAGATTTCTGTTAGTTCCAATGTAACTTTTCTACACTTTACATGAAATACTTAGTTTTATGTAATTCATTAAGTTAGCAGTTTATGTCTGAATCTTTTTCTGTAAAATCTAAAGTCCTATTTGTGTGCAAATATCTTTTTATGATAAGTAACATATGAAGTGTTTTACTGTATGATACTTAATGATTTGCTATTTCTGCTATTCAGTTTAAGGGATGAATTGCTTATTTCTTTCCTACACTACCTTTGTCTGCCTTAAATTAACATTTAAAAACTAATAAACTTAATTTGATCATTTCTTCGCTTTTCCTGTTGGAATGTTTTTAATTTTTATTTTTATTTTAAAGGGGGTAAAATTAAACACAACAAAACAGAACAAAATAGAACATAAGAAAGCAATGAAAGAGCTATAAATTTCAAAGCTAGATGACCTGAGAATCTTCACTATCATATTGTCTCTTGTTTTCTTCCAAATAGTTGTCCATATCTTTGCATATAGAGAATTCGTACAAAGCAACATAGTATAAAACTGATCTAAACAGAATGAGAAAGGTGTTTTAGGTCTTCAAAACCAGACGATAGAGAAGTCACTAGTGGCTGTCATAGAGTTTCTTGTTCTCTTCAAAACAGCTGGCCACCCTTTCATGTATATTGAAGTTCAATAAAACAAAACAGGCAGCGAGGAGGGGTTGCTTGGTTTCCTGCTGCTCCAGGTCCCAGCATGGGGCGAGTCCCTGTATTGCCGCTGGTTCCTATCCTGGGCCACTGGAGCCTGCCAGGCTCACAGCTGCCCATCAAGCGGGGAGAGGTTGTTTGGTTTCCTGGCACTCCATGTGCCAGCATGGTGCGGGTCCCAGTAAATGCTGGTGGCTCCCGTCCTTGGCCATCATAGCCTTCCTCGCTCATAGCCACTGGGGGGGGGAGTTGTGTGTGGGTGGTTCCTAGCCGTTTCTTTCTAATGAATTGACCATTTCACTGCCCAAGTTCTGAAATGGCCAACAGACCGTAGAAAAACATCTCTTTAGGCTCCTGCTTCAAACCAACAGCGTCAGGAAGCTGCCAACTTTGATTCAGGGCCAGTTCCTGTTGGATATGATTCGACTTTTCAGTGTGACTTTTTTTTCTTTTTGGTGCACTCTTCGTGCTACATGGATTATCAGGTGGCTGCTAATACTTTACCAGAAGGCCTTTTCTTATTTCTAATGAATGTTTTCATGTAGGTATTTCAGGAGCCAGCAGAAGAAGAACGAGATGGCAGAAAAAAGAAATATCCTAGTCCCCAGAAGGCTCGTTCAGAATCTAGTGAAAGAAGGTTTGTATTTTTTTCTTTTTAAATTAGGCAGGCATTGCTAACTCAGGTATTAGTTGCTTAACAAGGACTTTAAAAGGATTTTAAGTAAAATATACATTTCGACTCTTTTCTTGTTAAACTTGTTAGTGTTACCTTCTTTCCGTTCTGTTTTTTCTCTTGTCTTCTGTTCTTTTATAAACAGTCATCATTATATGTTTTCCCCAAGAGCTCAGGGGTGGGAGCAATCTCCTTAGAGAATAATAATGAAATGTTCCATTTGGTCAGGGGTGCTCAAGAATAAAATTACCCGTAGTATTTTATATTATAAGTGGTACAGTTTTTATGTGGTATCATCAATCTGCCACCAAAAAACAAGTCTTAAAATATTTTAGGAAAGCTTTGTTTTGAGCCCTTTGTCTTTTCTAATTCTTTTTCTGCCCCTCCCTCCATATACTGGCTTCACCTTTTTAAAAAATTTCTCCCCACCCAGTGTACTTCAAGTGGGAATGTTTTTCTCCTTTTTGTATAGTGGATTAGAAGAATTATGAGCTGCTCTTTAAACTCTAGAGAAGCACAGACATGAATTTTGATAACTCCAGGAGGGTATCTCATAGTGTGGATTTGATTAAAGACTTCATTCCCTGACTTATACATGGCTTTTATATCTGTATATTATAGGACACGTGAGAAAAAGAGGGAAGATGGCAAATGGCGAGACTATGACCGGTACTATGAGCGGAACGAGTTGTACCGAGAGAAGTACGACTGGAGAAGAGGCAGGAGCAAGAGCCGAAGTAAAAGCCGAGGCCTGAGTCGAAGCCGAAGCCGAAGCAGGGGGCGCAGCAAAGACCGGGATCCAAACAGAAACGTTGGTGAGTAGATGAAATATTCTCCTAAAAGCTTTGTAATTTTTTTTTCTTTTCTGTTTTAAAAACTATATAGTTTCTCATATCTATTAAAGATAAATGTTACCTTTAATATGTCTAAATGAGGTAAAAATTGGAATTGCTCCCAAAAGCTTAGAATTGATTTTGTTACAAATATATAGCTGTTGTCTTCTCGAATCAGAGTCAAAGGAATTAGATTAAAAAGAAGCTACTCGGAAGGTATATTACATGTTTAGATTTAAGTAATTTCTTGTACAATTGATGAAAATGTTCTTTAATTCATAAAACTAGCACTGAAGGAAGAGGTTTGCCTGTATTTACTTTTTGTTTCGTTTTTTGAAAAAGTAATTGCTTTTCTGTAAGGTTGCTTAAAGTTTGTTAGATTAAAAGGAAACCAAGCACTGAAGTGCATGTCTATACTCCCGGTTTTCTGGAAGCTGAAGCAGGAGGATCACAAATTTGAGCCCTGCTCTGGCAATTTAGTGACTTAATCAGACATTGTCTCAGAATTAGCTCCCGTATTGCCAGAATGAAAAAAAAAAAAATAAATTAGAGGCTCCCAATGATTAATGATCTAAAATATTGATTTGGCAGTTTATTATTGGGTAACATTCCTATTATTAGTAGTATTTTTTTTATTTTTTTTTATCAGTACCGGGGATCGAACTCACGACCACCTGCTTGCAAGGCAATTGCTTATGCCGCTGAGCTAAATCCCCAGCCCCTTATTCCTATTATTATTGAAGAAGCCAACCATTTTTCATTCAGTGTGATTGCCATTGATACAAAAGATGATTTTTTCCTAACTTATTGGTCAAGATAGATCACATTGTGTATTGTTCCTATTTTTAGGATATATATGTGATGAGAGCAGTTTGAAAAATGGATAGCTTAGTAAATTAACTCCAGTGTTCTCATCTTTCCTGTTTTGAGCCTGTAAGCATAGTTAAGAACATAAGTGTCTGATCTGTTTTCTTGTTTTTATTCTCTTTGAAGCAGAGCACAGGGAAAGATCAAAGTTTAAGAGTGAAAGGAACGATTTGGAGAGTTCCTATGTGCCTGTGTCTGCACCACCTCCGAGCTCTTCTGAACAGTATTCCTCTGGGGCACAGTCTATTCCCAGCACTGTCACTGTGATCGCACCTGCTCACCATTCTGAAAACACCACAGAGAGTTGGTCCAATTACTATAACAATCACAGCTCTTCCAATTCTTTTGGTCGAAATCCACCACCAAAGAGGCGATGCAGAGATTATGATGGTAAAAATCCTTGTATTGTACCCAAAAGTACTAATATACCAAATATTGCATATACTGCAGACCATTTCTTTATACCCTAGATTGCGTTAAAAAGGATGAATGGGCAAGAGAATTTCTTTAGGCATATGCTTATTACTTGATTATTTAATGGTTTGGCTCCAGTAAAAGGAGTATTTAATTTTGGGCCTTTGTTAGTTTATATTTTTGTTCTTATTCAAACCGTATACCATAAAACTTGACAGATGCTAGAAATTTTAATGTCTTTGTATAAAGTTTGGTGCTGGGAATTGGTTAAGTGTGTATAACTTACTCGTTTTATGCACTGTCTTTCCATTGAGTGAATCAGTGTCATATTTTGATTTGATTTTTTATTGGAAATACTTAACTATTTTCTAAATTTGACAAAATAGAATTAATGCTAGTATGTCCATCACCTCTTTTAAACAATTACCAAATCATGAACAGTCATTTATACTCTTTCTGCACACTTTTTGTCCTATATTATGTCAAGCAAATCTAATTATAATGTTTATTTAGTGCTAGGAATTGAATCTACAGCTGTGTATATGCTAGACAGGTGCTATATTACTGAGCTGTGTAGAATGCATGTTTTTATGTTTATTTACTGTGATTATGATTTTTTAAATTTATTTTTTATATTTTTATATTTTACTTACTGTGATTATGATTATTATTTTATTATTTTTGTTTTTTTTTAATAGAGTGTCACTATGTAATCCCGGTTGGTGGTGGTTCTTCTACCTCAGCCTCCTGAGTGCTGGGAATACAGGTGTGCACCACTATGCCTAGCTTTGCTGTATTTTTAGTTAGAGCCAAATCATCATTTAAACATTTACCTCAATCCTCTGGTTTCTCAACCAGAATCCTCTTTCCCAAGGCTATCTTGAGAGTGGCAATTTCTTGTGTATTTTTTGAGGTATAGTCTATGCATAGGTACTATATATAAACAAATAGGTATGCATATTTTTCCCTTTTTTCTGAACATGTGCCAGTGTACTCTTTATATTTTCACATGATTTTTTTGATTTAGTATTTCCTGGGAGTAATTCTATAGTAATATATGCACTTCTCCTTTTTTTAAAGGCTTTTTAGTGATCAATATGTGTAAAACTACATTCAGTCTATTTATTGATGTACGCTAGGGATGTCTTTTTCTTTGGTAGCAGGAATTGAACTTATGACCATGTGCTTGGCAGGCAGGCACTGTGCTGCTGAGCTATATCATAAGCGCCCCAGGAATGTTTCTAATGTTTTTTCATTGTAAACTGTTAACAGTGAAAAGCCTATATAATGCCTACTTAAATATTTAGTTTAAAAATATATTGTTGTTTTTAATTGACACATGATCGTACATATACGAGGTAAGGTGTGACATTTCAACATATGTATGCAATGTGTAATGATCAGATCAGGATAATTGGCATGTTTATCAACTCAAAACTACTATTTTGTGCTGGAAATATTAAAAATCCTCTCTGCTGGCTATTTTGAAATATTCAAGTAATTGTTGTTAACCATAGTTGTCTTACTGTACTGCAGAACATTATAGCTTTCTTCTGTCCAGCGAAATATTTGAAACTACTATTTTACTTTCTAGATATAGAAAGAATGCTTGCTTTAGAGTAATATTATGAAAACAGATCATTATAATCAAGTCATCTAGTTCAAGGCTTTCTCCTCCCACCCCTAACCCTTCACTGAATTGTTACAGTATTTGTTTTAAAGTGTCTGGGTTTTAGGCTGGACTTGGTGGTACACACCTGTAATCTCAGTGCTTTGGGAGGCTTAGGCAGGATTCCAAGTTCCACTTAGTTGGGCAACATTGTGGTTTAGTGACATGGTCTCAAATACAATAAGAAAGAGCTGGTGCTGTAGCTCAGTGTGTCACCCCTGGGTTTAATCCCCAAGACTGGGCGGGGGGAATCTGGGTTTTTATTGTGAAAATGTAATAGCAAATAGGTTAATCTAATAACAGCTAGTAGCTTGGTCTTGACCCTCCTGTTATTTTTTATCTTAGTAAGTCATGCATAGTATAGGAAGTAGAGAATGCATTTCCTTCTATCTTAAGGCTATATTATGATTAATGGAGTAACACTAAGAAGACTTTAGACTCCATGGATAAAACTACTGTCTTATAAGTCAGAACTGTGGACAATGGGTCTTGTGCACAGCTGTCATCCCAGCACCCAGGAGTCTGAAGCAGACGGGACACCATGAGTTCAAGGCCAGCCTGAACTACCTAGAAAGACTCTGTCTCAAAACAACATAATAAATCAGAAGGGAGGGATTTATTGTATTTTCTGGACTTTAATAGGTCATAATAAAATTATTTTTTGTCTTTGCAGAAAGAGGATTTTGTGTACTTGGTGACCTTTGTCAGTTCGATCATGGAAATGATCCTCTAGTTGTCGATGAAGTTGCTCTGCCAAGTATGATTCCTTTCCCACCCCCTCCTCCTGGTCTTCCTCCTCCACCACCTCCTGGAATGTTAATGCCTCCGATGCCAGGTCCTGGCCCTGGCCCTGGCCCTGGCCCTGGCCCAGGTCCAGGTCCTGGCCATAGTATGAGACTTCCTGTTCCCCAAGGACATGGTCAACCTCCACCTTCTGTTGTGCTTCCCATACCAAGTAAGTGTATGCTGATTGAATGAATCTTTGGTAGTGAAATCTACTTGCAAAAACCTCATATCCCTTTTTAAACAGTACTTTGATTAAAAGTGTTTAAAAATAAACTAAGGATAGAATTTGAAATTCATTCCTATACTTAGATGCTGTTCTTTGCTTTTTGCCATTCATTATGGCATGATGCTATTTGTAGTATTTCCAGTGTAAATGTTGTCAGTAGTGAACAAACTTAAACTGACTTTGTTATCAAAATCTTGTTAGTAGCATTTTAAGACGTCAGAGAAAGAATATATCAATAATTTAATGATAGTCTTTAAAGAGAATCTCTTTAAAGAGAATCTCTTGGGGTATGTTGAAATAACATTTAAAAATTTTGTGGGGCTGGGGATTTAGCTCAGCGGCATAAGCACCTGCCTTGCAAGCAGGCGGTCGTGAGTTCGATCCCCAGTACTGGAAAAAAGAAAAAAAAATATGTTAAAAATTTTGTGAAAATTTTTACATGTATACACATAAATGCATTACCTACAGTTTTATTTATGATTATCAAAATTAAGCTGGTTTTCTATGATTTATTCCCTTTCTCTACTTACTTTTTGAGTTGGTTTTGTGGGAGACAACTCCAGTGATTCCCCTTGAATACAAAACCATTACTTCAACTTTGATTATTTGGAGACTTATTTCCTTATACTAATATGTGGAGAGCTGGCTATGGTATTTCCTTCTCTCTTCAACTGGCTGTAAGCATTGCAAATAAGGCTAGCAAGGTACTGGTATGAAATCTCTAAAGCTGACAATGTCCTGTTTCCTCGCATAGCTTAGTGTTGGTGTTCTTCGTAAAGGATATGAACACAGTGGGATGTTAGAGCTAATGGCTCTGGGAATGTCAACTGGGTATGAGCCTCAAGGTAAAGAGGCTATTACTCCCCAGGACACAAAAGTTTACATGTCAGAAACAAGCAGTAACCTCCTAAAACAATTCATTGCTACCTTAATTGGATTATGTAATTGATCCTTCTGTATATCTTTATCTCTGCATTTTGCAGAGATGCTTTTCTCCCCTCCTGGCTAGCCAGCTTACCTTACTCGGGTAATTCCCGCCATCCTTGCTGTTACTCATCCCTGAGCCACCCCCCTTCTTCACAAAATAATAAATTCTGGGAGAAGCCCAGCATCAGGGCCTTTGTCCGTGCATTCTCTTAGGGATTGGATATAGGACCCCTTGGCTGCCCTTAACTTGGAATATGTCTTGGTGTCTATACTCTCACCATGGGTTGCATTGGAAGTGGTAGATTGAAGTTAACTTGCTGGGATTCCAATAACGTCTCAGTGGGATTACAAATACAATCTTTTGGATAGTGAGGAAAACTAAAAAAGGATTACAATACTTGGATAACTATACTCAATATCTGGGATTACAATAGGTTTGTTTTTTGCTGAACTTCAGATGTCATTTTACCAGTAATGTGTACTTGTGGGTGGATCTTTTTATAGATAAAGATGGTTTTTGTTTTTGTTTAAACAAAAATAATATACCATCACTTCCACTAAAATGAGAGAATACTGAAGCATGGTCATTTAAAACACATTGTAACAGTTAACTTGTGTAATAGGAACCAGAAAATATGTTTTTGTTTGTGTATGTGTGTGTTTTTTTTTGAGACAGGGTCTTATTGTGTAGTTTAGGCTATCCTGGAATTTGTAGTGATCATCAGTTTTTTGTTTTTTGTTCTTTTTTTTTGTATTGGGAATTGAACTCATGATCTTGTGCTTGCCAAGCATAGCGATCATTTTGACTAAGCCTCCCCAGTGCTGGAATTACAGGCATGCTTCACCACACTCAGCTTACATTTTTTTGTTTTTTTGAGGCAGGCTGTCACTGTGTAGTCTAGGTTGGTCTTGAATTTTCTATGTAGCCAAGGCTAGTCTCAAACTGAGGGGGGATCCTTCTGCCTCAACCTCCTTAGTGCTAGGGTCACAATGTGCACCACCAAGTCCAACTAAATTTTTAAAATACAACAAAAATTATGGTATATATTTTATATATATATAGCTATAATTAATATTAAAGGCTAGTAATTTTTTATAAGTTTTTGTCATTTAAGTAGTTCTTTGCTCAGTTTTCTTTTTTAATATTTTATTTTGGATTTGGGTGTAACTCAGTGGTATAGTGCTTGTCTAGCACATATGAGGCCCTAAGTTCCATTTCCAGGACTGAAAAAAATGCAAAAGCGCACTGTATTTTGTTATAGACCCATATGAAGTACAAAAATACATGATATGGTGGCACATAGCTACAATCCCAGCACTGGAGGAGGCTGAGGCAGGAAGATCAATGCAAGTTGGAGGCCAGTCTGTTCTACATAGTGAGTCACAGCCAGCCTGAACTCTCCAGTGAGACTGCCTTAAAAACAAATAAAATGGTTGCAAAGGTAGTTTCCCATGACCCTGGGCACCCATTACAAAGCTGTCTAGCAGTGCAGTATACTCAGAGAACACACTGAAGTTAATAAAGCCAGAGAATAATACATAGATTTAATCAATAAAAATGAGCTTCTTTTGTGAATATTTAATATTGTCACATAAAGAGTGTAATTTTCAAACTCCGGTTGAGATTTTATTTTTCAGATAAGTATCTGTTAATGTAGAAAAGATGTTTCAATATAGGGACCTGTTTGTGTAAAAGTTAAACTCAGGAATATAATTTTCAAACATTTCATTACGAAAAATTTCAAGCAAAAAAAAAAAAATTGAAAGAATTATGCACTCATTATCTACCACAATTAGCATTTTATATTTTATTTATATATTTGCTGTATTTATTTGTATCATTTATTTTTCCATTTCTCTATTATTACTTGATGCTTCTCATAACACATTACAGACAATAGTACTCTTAAAATATGCTTATCATTTTTTTCTTTTTTTGAGACAAGGTCTTGCCATATAGTTCATGCTGGCTTTGAACTTCCTATGTAGCCCAGGCTGGCCTTGAACTTGCAGCAATCTTCCTACCTCAGCCTCTTGAGTACTGAGGTTATAGGTGTGCATCACCAGGCCAAGCATTAAAACATGCTTGTCATTAATCCTTTTGTAGAAATCTGAAATCCCACAAAATTTTAAATCATTTTCTACTTGCACCCACAGAGGCAACAGTGCCTTATTTTTTATCCTTACTTAAGTCTGTTCTAGAACTAAGGATGTCACTTTATTTTTTTTTTTTAAATTTTATTTAAGGAGAAAAAAAAGCAGAGAAAGGGTACAAGTTATACAGATTTACAGAAAAAAAAAATAAACACTAGGAAATCACTAGTTAATGGATTACATATTGTCATCTTAGAAATAATTGTTCAAGTCACAAAATTAAAGCTTATAAAGTGGACATTCCAACAATGATACTGCAAACAGTTCTGTTCAATGAAAGGATGTCACTTTAATTAATTATACACATCTCACAATGATTAGACCTGCATATATTGAATTCCTTAATTTTGTTCAGAGCCTGAGTAGATCTTTCAAGTATGAATATTTGAATTGCTATTGGTGCAGTGAGTATTTTTATTAGGAAGCATTAATCCTGTACCTCTCATGTTTCATAATCTGCAGGACCACCAATATCACAGTCAAGCTTGATAAACAGTCGTGACCAGCCTGGGACAAGTGCAGTGCCCAATCTTACACCAGTGGGAGCAAGACTACCTCCTCCCTTACCCCAGAACCTCCTTTATACAGTGTCAGAACGTAAGTAAATGTTTCATCCCAAAATTAGTACTGATATGGAAAAGCTAAGATGTCTTATATCAGCAGAGTGCTTTTAAAAATTATTTTATATTTTTATTGATCATATACCTATTAAAATTATACTTGTATCCATAAAGCAGTTTACTATACGCTTATGCCATCTAGCCGTATGTTAGTGTTATGTGAGAAAGGCAATGTCTTCTCTTTTGGAAAAGTCCCCTCTGACCTAAGAGTTTCAATAGTTAGCCTCGTCTGTAGGCTGTCCGTTGGAGCAACATGAAATCTTCATTTTTAAATTAATTGTGATTTTTTTGAGAGAGAGTCTTGCTGTGTAGCCCAAGCTGGCCTCAAACTCCTAAAGGGTCACTATGCCCAGTTTAGTCTTTTCTGAAGTAAGTCTATTTTGAAGTTTCTGGCTTTTTGTAAAATGTAAGGTCTGTCTCCTAAAAAGTGCCCAAAAGGTCTGTTAACCTGTTTTTAACTTGTATGCTGAAGTAAAGAACATAAAGTACATTATTTAAATTGTATTAATATTTTGTAGCATACATGTTTGACTATAGAATTTTTTTTTTAACTCTTAATGCTTTGAAAATTTAGAGATTTTCTTGTTTAGTTTACTAAGCTTTTAAGAAAAGTCCTTTCTCCAAAATGAATGTTAAAAAGGGTGTGTTGGTCGTTAAACAGGCCAGATGATGAGATTTTTCTCTTCATAGAGACAGTTAACGGTGAATGTGTTCATCCTGTATGGGAGTGTGTTTACCATAAAGTCTCCTTTGTCTTCTAAACATTTCTTCATGTCTTTGTTATGGAGAAGCAGTTGAGCAAAGTAGTTGAGCCCAGGTTAAAATCCTGATTTCTTACATAACTATCTTTGTTGACTGTGGGCAATAACTTCTCTGTGTCTCAGTTTTCTGCTTTGGAGGAGAAAATTATCCAGTAAGGTTGCTTTGAAGGATAAATAACTAGCTGGACATGGTGGCACATGCCTATAATCTAAGCTGAGGCAGGAGGATTGCCACAAATTTGAGGCCATCCTGTGCTACGGGTGAGAATCATAAAAATAAAAGAATAAATGATTAATGTGTATAAAGCATGTAAAAAAAAGCGGTATCTAGTAAACTGTAAAAATTAGTTATTGAAGTTTCTATTGTCTGCTCAAATTTGAATTTCAGCCACTGAAATCAGACCTATTATTTTCTCCTAGAATCTCTATTGTCTACTCTCCCTCAGTAACACCCAATTATCTATAATTGAGTGCTTCACATGGCTGGTTTTTTGCGGGAGGAGGGAATCTTTTTTGAGGCAGGATTTCACCACATGGTTAAAGTTGGCCTTGAACAAACTTTGTAGTCTGGGCTGGCTTTGAACTTGCAGCAGTCCTTTTGCCTCAGCCTCCTAAATGCTGGGATTACAGACATGAGCCACCATCCCAGACTCAAAAAGTTTTAAATGAAAAAAACTAGCAGTTGGGCTAGAAATAGAGCTCAGCATCACAGCGCCTGGCAAGCACAAGGTCCTGATTCCTGGTACCTTAAACAAAACAAAACAGTATAAAACTGTCTTTTTATATTGTTAAATTTAACATTGTGACTCATCTCTAAAAATTCTCCATTTGGTTTTATTTATTTGCTTGCTTTTTGTGATACTGGAGATTGGGCCCTGCCTGTATATTCTGGGCAAGTGATATATACTGACCTATACCCCCAGCCCATGATCCTAACATTTTGAAAATTGGGCAGTCACCACTTATTTCAGTGGTATAACCTGATACTCATTAATTCAGCAAATATTTGTTGAGGGGTTTTTATGTACATTGTGGTGGCCACTAGGAAACCAAAATGATTTGGGTATCAGACTTTATTTTGCTGTTTGGGGTCTTTTCTTATTTTTCCAAAATTTATTTGTTTATTTTTTGTCTTTTTTCAGACAGGATTTCACTATGCAGTTCAGGCTGGCCTTGAGCTCACTTTGTAGCCCAGGCTGGTCTTGAATTTGCAGTGATCCTTCTGCCTTAGCCTCCTGAGGGCTGGGATTACAGGTGTGTGCCATCACACTTGGCTGTTATTTTCCTTGAGGTTCGCTTTTCTCTTTAAAAGGAAAAAGATTCTGTAATGTATCAATGAAAGCCACTCATTCATTCATTGGTACTGGTGATTGAATCCAGGGCCTGATGTTGCAGGCAAGTACCAGTAAGGTACATCCCCAGCACTTTTTATTTAGCAGGACCTTACTAAATTACTCATGCTGGCTTAAACTTGGGATCCTCCTTCCTCAGCCTCCAGAATGACTGGAATTACAGTCATGTGCCCCTATGCCTGGCCAATAAAGACAGAGGGTGGTAACATACTTAAGAATAATAGGATCAACACAGTTAGCAACTTTAGTTTTCAGGGGTAAAGACTATGTATGAAAATATATAGTATTAATTTTTAAAATAACTTTTTGCCCCAAAAAGGATATAATCTGTGAATAATGATCCTTTAGTGTTTGGTTTTATGAAATATTTACTGTATTTTTTTCCTATTTTTGCTTCATGACCAGTAAAAGGTGATAAGTTTGCATTGACATTTGTGCATTACTGCTTCTAAGGGCCAATATTTTGAAAGAGATTTAATTGATTGGCAATTGATAATTTTGAAAGTTACAGACTACTCTAATGGAGTTCAAAATTGTGCCATCCAGAAGTTTGTGATCTCCACCCTACCCTCCCTTGCTTGCCTGCTGTCTTTCAGTATTGAGGATTGAACCAAAAGGCCTGTGTATGGAACTGTGCTCTGAGTGCTTTTTAGAATTTTCTTTGAGACTAGGTCTCACTAAGTTCCTCAGGCTGGGCTCAAACCTGGGATATTATTCTTGTTTCAGCCTGCCAGGGTGCTGAAATTGACAGGTGTGTGCCACCAGTCTTGTGTTTCTTAAAAGCCTAAATTTTGATTCTAAAATTTACAAAGAAATTTGAAAACCTAGGGAATAGTTGCTGATAGCTATCTAAATGTTGAAAACATTTTTTTTTTGGTACTGGGGATTGAACTCACAACCTCACACTTACCAGGCAGGCACTTATGCTGCTGAGCTAAATCCCTGGCTGAAAACATTTTTTTTGAGAATATAGTATATTTTATTAGTCATGAGTATTTTTTTCTATTCATGTGATTTTTAAAAATTTAAAAATATTCTTTCAGATAAAGATGGAACTCTCAGAATTGTTCATTTGCTCTTTGAGATATTTGTAATTCATGTGTAAGTTTTATTAGCTGTTGTGTTATTTTCTTTCTTTTTTTTTTTTTTTTGTCTTTTTTGTTTTTATCGGTACCAGGGATCGAACTCATGACTGCCTGGTTTCAAGGCAGGCGCTTATGCCGCTGAGCTAAATCCCCAGCCCCTGTTGTATTATTTTCTAATTTTTATTTTTATTAGTACATGTTGGAGTACATAATTACATTCATTGTGGGAAGTTGGTACACATACCAAACAGATTTGTAATTTTTACAGGATTACAGGTTGCTTTGGTTCAAATGAAGTAAACAGCCTTGTGTGTATTTGCAACATAATAGAGAAATAGAGCTATCTAACAAGAATTTAAATTACAGATATTTTATAGCCTTTAAACATTGTTGAAATATATAAACAAAAATGCATGTAAATGAAAAACTGTAAAATGATGTTTAGTTGTGAAAAATTATGTTGGTGGGGCTGGGGATTTAGCTCAGCGGCATAAGCGCCTGCCTTGCAAGCAGGCAGTTGTGAGTTCGATCTCCGGTACCAATAAAAAAGAAAAAGAAGGGGCTGGGGATTTAGCTCAGTGGCATAAGCACCTGTCCTGCAAGCAGGCGGTCGTGAGTTCGATCCCCGGTACCGGAAAAAAAGAAAAAAAAAATTACGTTGGTATGAACCCAATGTAAACTCAGAAAAATGTAATCTGTAATTTCAAAGATGGATGTTTGCTTAATGTTAAATGCTAGGAATATATAAGAAATGTTTCATATCTAAAGAATGTAAAAATCTAACAGTGGGAAAGTAATACAGTTAAAAGCCTAAATATAAACAAAAATAATAATGCATTTCTGTGAGAGTGCCTTAGAAACATAGATACAAAGGAACACTTTTGTAAAATGAGTGCATTAGTTTAGGTTTCTGTGGTCACTTGTTTTGGAAGAGGACAACCAAATGTTAAAAAGAATAAATTGAATTACTCCCTTATAAAACTAAGTAGAGTATGTAGCTCTTGACTCTTTAAAAGTTAATGCCAGTGGTGGTTATAGTTTAGTTTAATTTTTTTTTTTGTTGAGTTCAAATGCCAAAGATTTATGAATGTGAATCAAACAATGGGATAATTTTGAAAAGACAATAATATACATCTATTAAAATCAACCGTTTCTGGGTATAGTGGCACATGCCTGTAATCTTATTACTCAGGAAGCTGAGCCAGGAGGATCAGACTGTGAGTTTGAGGCCACCATGTACTTAGTGAGTACAAAGGCAGCCTGAATTACAGAATGAGACTGTCTTTAAAAAAAAAAAACAAACCAACTGAAAATCGGTTGTTTCCACTAAAGTGTGTATGTGTTTTTCCCCCAACATCGGGGCTCTATCCCAGGGCTTTGTACAAGCTAGGTAAGTACTCTATATCTACCCTATAAGACCTTTTAAAAATATAAATATATATTTTTTGCTTGCTTCTATTTGATCTGTTTCTTCTTTGAAGAAGATGGTAGAAATAGGTTACTGTACTGGATATGTAAAAAAGTAAGTGATTTTGGATTCCAAAGACTGTTTTGGAGTGATGGCAGTTGTCCATTGTTTAGCTGAATTTTTGTAATCCTTGTTTTTCATGGAATATGTTTGCTGTCAGTAACTATATAAAACTATTAAAACAGTATGTTCCTGAGAGATTTGCTCATTTAATTCTGTGGGATGCACAGCATTTCTTTGTGTAAAGTAATAGTTCTGATGTTTATAGAAGTAAATCAATATCAGAGTTTTTGTATGTGGTCTAGACTATTTCATCTCTTGTTTTTCACCTGAATGCATTTTGCTTTAAATATATAACTCATTTGACATATAGTTATTCTTTCAAAGAAATATTTATTATGTAAATATGTTATTATGTTATCATTATGCTTCCTCTTTTTTTTTTTTTTTTTGAAAGGAGGTTTTTCTTATATGGTTCAGGCTGGCCTTGAAGTCCTTGTGTAAATCAGATTGGGCTTAAATTTGCAGTTTACAGTTGTGCACCTTAGTGCCTGGCTGTTCGTTTTTTCTTTAAATGAGTCTTTATTGAAAAAATACATACAAAAATTAGGAAGATTGCAAAATATGGGTAAAATTTTAGTTTGAGTAAAAATTATTTTTAGCTCACTATAGTTAATGTTTATATTGATGTAAGAATATTGGGCTTCGTTCTGCCAATAGGTCATTTTTCATAAGAAATTCACTTCAATAAATCTTGCTTATAACTCTTCAGATCATCGAAGACAGTATTAGTTGTTTTGGTAGTATAATGATTGAATTTCTTTAAACAGAAATTTTGATAGGTTAAGTATAAGATTATGTAATCTGCTACTCAGTATGGTGTGTTGTCTCTTTTTGCATATGTAGGAAGAGAAGGATAGTAAAATTTGGCATGTCTATCTCCTCCATTTACAATGAAGTGAAATGTTTGCTTTGTACCCTGTCTGATGAAGTGATATTTGAGCTTTATAAATTTTAAGGACATTTCATCGGGTGTTACATTTTTTAAAAATATACATTGTCTGCTATTATGGCTACTTTGAATATAAAACATTGACTAAACTTATAAATTTATGTACTTTATATTGGGTTGTTAGTGTATAAGATTCTGTTTAATGGACAACCAAAGGAAGATTTTACTTCTTTGGTAGTTTGTCTTTTTCTACTCTTGTGTGTCTGCATTGTTGTCAGTATATATATGAATATTAAATGTGCTTTCTTTCAAAGTGTGGTTCTTAGTATCTGAGATCATTTCATATGTCCACGGCTCGTCTGAGTGTCTTTGTTTACCCATTCACGGGGATAACAAGTTTTCATTATCTTGTTTGATTTTTCCTTGGAAACACTTCTTAGTCTCTGTGAGGATGTGCCTTCTGATGCTTTGTTTTTAGTTTCTGACTTTTTTTCTGTTCCCAGATATGGGAGTATACTTTTTGAAAATCTGAAATTATGTGTTTTGGGGGTACTAGGGGCAGTATGTATGTGTGACAGTTTTTGTATCTGCATGTCTCATTGGACATAAAATTCCATATGACTAGTAGCTCAGGGCTCCTTTGTGTAACAGGTTGATATGGTTGATCAGCTTTGGATAAAATTAGCAGGTATTCCATTAAACATTCTAAATGATGGAGATTATACAACTATACTGCTTAAGTATTTCCTTTATGCCTCAGTGCATTCTGAATAGTTGTGTGTCTGTTTTCTTGAGTTAGAATCATAGTAACATCTTTCTCAATTACTGTTCCTATTGGTATAATTTCTCTGTTCTGGTTGAAAGTCTTAGGACTTTCATCATTATCTAAGAGAAGCTTGTGATTCTCAATCCCAGCTGCCATCCTATTCTTTCCTCTGTAGGACAGCCCATGTACTCTCGTGAACATGGTGCTGCTGCATCTGAGCGACTTCAGTTGGGGACACCGCCTCCTCTGTTGGCAGCTCGTTTGGTGCCACCTCGAAACCTCATGGGATCCTCCATTGGGTATCATACCTCAGTGTCCAGCCCCACCCCTCTGGTCCCAGGTAAGCTTTGCTATAGATGGCCATCCAACTCATGAATCTTTTTTGTACCTTAAACTGGCCAGCCTAAGAGGTGACTTGGCGTGCAGATCAGCTGTCGTGAATTTCCACTGAAGCTCTTGGGTAGTTTTATTTTCTGTTTCTGTGTTTCTTTGATTTGTCTTTAGTGGTTGCTAGATGATTAGGCCTCCTTTGTGTGTGTGTGATCTCTGGTGTCCTGTGTATTTACCTTTAGTGTCTCAGTAACAAAAGTCATGCTAGTTGTTTGAGATAGTTCATAATCAAGTGGATAGGAAGGAATCTACTTGAATGTTTTCTAATTAGCTACATATTACAAGAAAAACTATTTTTTCTTTATAATTAAATAAAATCAAGCATCTGGTTTCTTGCTGATTATGGATAAATGTCATTCTTTCCCTCTGGCCTTTGTTACGTAGACTGATTGTGTTCTTCAAAAGTCTTCCCTTCTCATGACATATAATTTGAAAATCTGTGGAGTACTTTGAGGGTATCGTAGGAGATTTAAAACATTTTTTTAGATTTTGGTTCATCATAATTAACTCAAGGATACAAGCTTATTGAGGTGTGTATATTCCCAGGAATTATACAATAGAGACATTTGATTATGTAACTGTAAAACTGCAAAAGACTTAACTAGATTTTCTGCTAGTAGTACAAAATGGTGACTGAAAACTTTTTATCATAATTTGCTGATTTTTTTAAAAGGTAGAACTATACTTTTAAAAGGTAGAACTATACTTATACAATATAATATATAAAGTATATATAATATATATGTATAAATGTCATTCTTTCCCTATAGAAGCATATAATTTTTAGATTTAACATATATAATCATAGAAGCTATTATTTTATATATCATCTTCAAAGTATTTTCAGTCTTAATTTGTTTTTTCTTCAGTATTGGTGGTTTAACCCAGGGCCTTCACCCTGAGCTATATCCTCAGCCCTTTTAAAATTTTATTTTGAGATAGGGTCTCACTGAGTTGCCCAGGCTTGGTCAAACTTTCTGTCCTCTTTAGTCTTCTACGGTGCTTAGGATGACAGGCATGCACTACCATTGCCCAGTCACATTTAAATTTAATAAGCAGAAAGTGAAATTTGCTTTTAAGCTATGCTTTATTACAGTACCGGTTTCTTTCTGTACAATACATGTACAGAAGGGCATGCTCATGATTAAATGTTGTCTCTGTGTGTCTTAAACAAAAATTAGCAAGAGGGATCTTAAAATAGAAGCCAAAATTATTAAAAATGAAGCCCAAAGAATATTGTTTGGCGGATAACTTAAGCATCACCTTCTAACTATTGAGACAGTAAAATCTATTTGGTTTTATTAGCCATTGTCAGATAACTTTGAGGCTGAGTAGAGGCCTTGAATGATATGTTGAATATTATTATGATAACACTTTATTAAATTTCATAAGCTATCTTCCTCTGAGGCAGGCAGCTCAGATGGCCCTGGTGATTCATTTTCAACATCATGTAACATTTTATTAGAGGGCACCATTTTTTAATTTATTGTTGTCCTTTTTATACAACTCCATGAGCTGTTTTGAAAAACCAGAAGAAAGGGAAAAAATGGGGTGAAGTAGGGAGAAGAAATACTACTGACCAGCAGCTGTGTGCTTGATACTAAATAACTATGTCAGAATCACGTGTGTTTTATTGGTATTTTCCTGATTTAGACTCATGGTATACGGTTGGTGTGTGTGTGTGTGTGTGTGTGTGTGTGTGTGTGTGTGTGTGTGCGCGCGTGCCAAGTCTACATTAACCTGAAATTAGGGAACATATACTGTTTGGGGAAGAGGTTTAATCTAACAAGGCTGAGAATAAGAAATCAGGGCCTCTTGAATCTTACTACAGGTAGATGGAAATGCCTGTAGAGTTCAGGAAGATCCCTCAATGGGGATAATCTGCTGTTTTTATATTCTGAATTACAGAAGTGGCTTAGTGTTAGTAAAGATCTGAATCTACCTTGTAGTTTATACTATGAACTGCTTTTCAGTAAGGAAAAGGACAACAAGAACTTGTGAAAATCAGTATCTTCAGTTAATCTTACCCTTGTTTTTATGTAGGATGAAGAGGACATAAGTCATTTGGAAATAAACTTTCAGACTTTTTATTAACACTAACAAAATAATACTATGGCATTAGAATTTTAAAAATTAAATTTTGAGTGGTAGAGAACACAAGAAATGTGATTTTTAAAAAGTACCTTGATGAGAGAGTATGGTCCTAAGATAATTATTATGTTTATAAATATAAAATTTATTTTATGTATCTGGGTGGATTCCCCAGTATAGGGAGAGACTAAACCCAGATCCTGCTCACTGAGCTACATCTTCCAGTTTTTAAATTTTAAGGCAGAGTTTTAGTTGCCCCTACTTGTAGTCCTGCTACCCTGATTGGGACTACAGGTGCTTTTCTGGCTTTACCTACTTGTGTTATTTGAAACTTTTTGTATGAAAGAGCTGTTGTCTCCCTAAAGTACAGATAATCAAATGAATGTGTTGATTCTTTTTCCTAATTAAAAAGTACCTAGGAGTTGGTGAGGCACGAATCTCAATAATCCTTCATATATGACGTTCATTATATATATGAAAATTTGTGTTAAAAATGTGCATTGAAGTTTAGGTTAAGTGATTGACTTCCAGGCTAGAAATGACTGAGCAAATCCAGAAATGTATTATTTGAGAATGAATGTCTATATATGTGTGGGTGTATATGTGTGTTTCTGTGACAGTAGCATGTTTTCCTTTTACTTCCAACAGGAATGTGTATATACTGTAACTCAAAGAGGAATATATGTGACTGGTGGAATTTTATTGTAGAATATTCATTTTTCACAGCTATTTTATAATAATTAGTAATTTAACCTCTCTCTGATTTTGTTACATGTTTTATTGCTTTGTTTTCCCTCAGATACTTATGAACCAGATGGCTATAACCCAGAAGCACCTAGTATTACCAGTTCTGGTAGATCACAGTACAGACAGTTCTTTTCAAGAACACAGACACAGCGCCCCAACCTGATTGGCCTAACATCTGGAGATATGGATGCGAACCCAAGAGGTGAGAATATCATTAAACTTTTGCTTTTATAATAAATGTTATGTAGTAGCTGAATATAGTTATTTGCATTTTAGACCATTTGAGCAAATTAGAGTATTTACTATCTTTGAAGAGTGCTACATAATAATCTCAAATGTTTTCTTTATATGACCCTTTTGATATATGACCCTTATAAAACTATATTAGAATATATTTTAAAACACAAGTAATATTAATGTTAATTTTATTGCAATTTCTTGGCTAAAACTTCAGATTGTTTTAGCTGAGTTCTGGGCAATGTGCTAGATGTTTGGTACAGCTTTGTGTCAGATTACACCAAATAGTTTTGTATATTATTATTATTATCTGTACATAAAGCAATTCATAAAAGGTTCTGTTGTTACTCTCTTTTTATAAAACATTAAGGCTTACAGAGATTAAAGATAAAAGGCAAAACCCAAACCACAGCTTTAATTAGAATTTGAACTCAAGTCTGACTCCAAAGACTATCCTTTTACTTCTTTGCTATAATGCATGTACTTACCTCATCACCTGAAATTAGTGGGAAGGTAGTGTTCTCAGTTTTACATTTGCCCTTTTTCACTAGCCTGTTCTGTCAGTATGTTCAGACATAATCATAACAATCTCAGTGTGAAAGTCATGTGGTTTGTATTACAAGTTTTTCCTTTTGAACAATTCATAAGTCACTTAACTACCAACTTTTGTGGTTTTTTTTTTTTTTTTTTTTTTTTTTTTTGTCTTTTTCGTTTTTATCGGTACCAGGGATCAAACTCATGACCGCCTGCTTGCAAGGCAGGCACTTATGCCGCTGAGCTAAATCCCCAGCCCTTTTTTTTCTTTTTTTAAAAATTCAATAAAGAAAAACATTAAGCAGTGTCAGCTGATAATCATGACAACTATTGAGAAAGGCATAATGACATTTCAAATTCTAGAATGTTTTATGTCATCACAATCACTGCTCCATTAGCCTTCTAAAAATACAAATCCTATAAGGGTAGGGATATCTATTTAATTCTCTAATTTATCTTGAGCATCTAGTTTCTGAGGGTAAAATACCTGCTCAAGGAATACATATTACAGGAGTGAATTTTTTTGAGGAACTAAGGATTGAACCCAGGAGTTTACTACCAGTGAGCTGTATCCCCAGCCTTTTAAAAAAATTTTTATTTTGAGACAAGATCTCACTAAGTTGCCCCTGCTTGATGCTGGGAAGATTGGCGCGTACCACTCTGCCCGGTAAATGGATGATTCTTTCCCCTCACTTGCCTGACACAGAGTGAAATGAACATACTGCTCAGTACCCAATCCTCATCCCAATATCCAATAATGTGTTCCTTTGCTTGGTATGGTTGATAAAATTAGGAGATACCCAGAGCAACAGGCATGTTTTTGTGTTGTTTACTTTTTGTTCAGTACACCACTTCCCTCCTACAGGTAACCTGTTATAAGGTTAATTTTCTTGGTAAGATTTTAGTCAAAACTGTTGGGAGCAAAATACACCATTTATAGTATTGACTTTGGATTTTTTTTCCCAACTTTTAAGTTGAAATTTTTTTTAACCTAAAAAAACTCAAAAGAAATAAGGTGAATACATAAATACCTTCACTTAGATTTACCAGTTGTTTTCTCCATCGAGGATGAATGCTGTCTTGTGTGTTTTCTTACATCTCTCCCTGCTCCTTTTCCCATACATTTTTTTCCTGAACTACTTACAAGTAAATGATAGCTACTGTGACACTTTGAATCTTCTAGTAAGAACAAGATGTAATCTTGTGTAAGCACAGTATTATTGGCACACAAGAAAATCATATATCTATAATAGTATCCAGTCCTTATGATGTGGTGAACTTCTTGGATGATAATATCTACAGGCAGGTAATACCCTTCCATTAATGGTGCTGAATTTGATTGCTTGCCTAAGGTGACAATTATTATATATGACCCTTATAAAAGTAATTTATAGAATGGTAGTTTGACACCGTTTACATCCCCTTGTTCTTCGGTAACCTTTCTTGAGTAACATTTTGCTTCAGTTGATAGTCTGTGGCTGAGTTAGTTATTGGGTTTGCCTTTGGATTTCTAAACTTGAATTTTTATTTTTAAAGAGAGAAAAAGGCATTTGTAATTTTTCTTGCTGTTCTATGTTTTTAGATAGGAAATGGTAGTAGAGTGCTATTTTTATCTTTTAGTCTAAATATTTTAATTGTGACAGATCCATGAAGCTCAGAAATGGAATTTCAAAAAAATTTTTTCCCCAACAGCTGCTAATATCGTCATCCAGACTGAACCACCAGTTCCTGTTTCAATTAATAGCAACATAACCAGAGTTGTTCTTGAACCAGATAGCCGAAAAAGAGCTGTGAGTGGTTTGGAAGGGCCACTCACAAAGAAACCGTGGCTGGGAAAGTAAGATAATTTGTTAACTAGTAACCTTTGATTGGTGTTTTTGTTGTTTTGTTTGCATTAGTGAAATGGTTGAAATTACGAGTCATCACATATCAATGATTTTCAAGTTTCATGTGCCAAACTTAGGATTCCAGGGACATTTGCGGAGAGGGTGTGGGGGTACCTGGAGTTAAATTCACAATCTTGTGCTTGCCAAGCAGGCACTGTGGCACTGAGCTATATCCCTCCCCAGGAAATCCTTAGGATGTTTTAAATGTTGAAATGTCATTCATAATAGATATTTGTAATTTTTACCTATTTCTGCACCTAACCAAATATTAAAAATTATTCAAGTACTAGAAGTGAAGTGAATAGAAAGGAAGAAAGAAGTTTTGTACCTTTAGACTAGTTGAGAGGCGCACCATTAAAAAATGAAGCTCTATTACTGTTTTAATGTTAGAATCTGGTAATGTGGTAGATTGTTTTTAACAACTGATTTTTTAATGTGAATTGGGCCTTATCCTTATGAATCTTCACTATTTAGTCTTACTCCTCTTTGTTGTAATACAGCAAGGATGATGTACAGATTGCTTAGTAATTAAAGAATGCTGCGGACTTATAAAAGGTAGTTTATAATAAATACAAATTTTACTTTATTTTTTGACGTATTGTTTGGATAGGAGTGGTGTGGGATAATTACCAAGACCTATTAATATTTGTTTCAGGCAAGGGAATAACAATCAGAGTAAACCAGGATTCTTGCGAAAGAATCAATATACAAACACCAAATTAGAAGTGAAGAAAATCCCTCAGGAATTGAACAATATTACCAAGCTCAATGAACACTTCAGCAAATTTGGAACTATTGTTAATATCCAGGTAATGTGGTTATATCAGTGGCCGAGTCCACCTAAAAATACTCTTTCAGCTTGTCGGCTTACTTAAGTGAGTCAGTAGTAATTTTGATCATCTCTTGAGTGTTATAAATTTCACTACGTATCTGGTATACTTTTTTTTTTTTTTTTGTGGTACCAGTGATCAAATTCACCACCTCATGCTTGCCACTGAGCTAAATCCCCAGCCCCTGTATCTGTATATTTACTTCTGTGATGAAATTGTTATTATGAATTCATTTGGTTCTTTTCTGTAACCTCTTTCTGAAAGACATTGAGCTAGTTACTGTATTTTTGTCCCATAATTTTAATTGTTCAATGACTTTCTTTCCCTGCATTATTCTAATAGGTAGTTTAGATTTTTGTTAATTTCTAAGATTGTAATCTTGTCTATTCACTTAACTTTTGTATTGTGATGAAGTAATTAATAATGGTTTTAATTTTGAGATTTTAGATATTTACCCAAAATCAAATAAATTGTTGTATACTCCTTTCTGCTTGTTAGTAATTTAAATTTATGAATTTGTGTTTATGTTGTGCTGAAATTGAGGATATACATGCACAATGAGGCTGTTAATTCATATGTCTCACTGCTGTGTGGCTTAAACCAGGAATGATAGATGCATGACTGTCCCATTGGTTAGCTTTTTAATTTTATTGGTAAAAAAGATCAATAAGGACCAAAATGTATAATAGATATTATGAAATAGAAAATGTTCAAATGGGAAGGGGAATGAGACAAAGGAAGAGGGAAAGGAAGGAAGGGAAAAGAAAAAAAGATGACAAATGATAAAATAGAAGTGGAAGGACAGCGGAATGGGAAAAAACATAATGAAGTTAAGCAGGTACAAATTCCCTATAATGAATGTGATCATTATGTATACATAAGATGTACCCGTAAACTTAAGTAAAGATGATTACATCTGTATGTTCAAGCTGCACAATGAAATAGTCATGCGTCATATCATTGGTGGTTCAAACCTGTGGGAACATGTTAAGTTGGAATTTTAGCCTGTTATTCCTAATACATGTTATCAAACCAAACTACAACTGTGTTTTAAGAAAGTATTATTGGGGACTTAGTATTTCAAAGAATTGAGCTAAAGTATTATATTTTTGTGAGCCTTTTAAGCATTTCCTCCATTGGGTACATAAGTAGTACATGTTCAATGTACAAATAATTGGAAACATATTAGACAAGTGAAAAAAGAAATTGCCTGAATCTTACTGCTTGCCAATAAGGAATATTCTTTTTTTAAACAGTCTCACTATGTAGTTCACGCTGGCCTTGAATTCACTATGTAGCTCAGGCTGGCCTTGAACTCATGGCTATCCTTCTGTCTCAGCCTCCTGAGTGATGGGATTACAGGCATGCACCACCAGACCTGACTTTAGGAGTCAGGCCTATTCATTTTTAATGAAAAGATATAAGGTTTAATTTTTACATTTAAGAATATACATATAGCCAGGTGTGGTGGTACGCACCTATAATTCCTAGATTGAGGCAGAAAGATCAATGTTAATTTTAGGCCCACCTGGGCTACATGGTGAGTCCAAGGCCAGCCGGTACTACATAGTGAAATACTGTCTTAGAAAACAAAAAGCCAAACCAAATCAGAATATACGTACACACATATATACATACATGTATGTAGATATCGATATATATATATATATATATATATATATACATGCATATATATATTTGTATGTGTGTATATATATTTAAAATGCCCACAGATGTAAAAGATGTAATATACCAAAATGTCCCCTTGATTTTCTTTTCTTTTTTCTTTTTTTTTTTTTTTTTTTCCTTCCTGTTTTGGTACCAGGGATTGAACTCATGATTTTGAGCTTGCCAGGCAGGTGCTTATGCTGCTGAGCTAAATCCCTGCCCCCCCTTTTTCTTTTAAAAGTTTTCTGTATCATTTTTTATGGCATTTAGAAAAATTTAAATAACTTAGTGTAGTTATGTATAGTGGTCTTCCCAGGCTACCACAACAAATGAGGGGGAAATAAACCACAGAAATATATTTTTCACAGTAGTATAGTTCTTTGGAGACTGGCCAACTCAGTGAGAAGTCCAGTGAGAAGTCTTTAGGTTGCAAACAGCAGGCAACGCTGTGTCTTTGCATGGCAGAGAGAAGGGAAAATTTTTTCCTCTTCTCAGAAGGCCACCAATCTGATTCAATTAGGACCCTAAGTTTAGACCTTATATAACTGTATTTACAACTTAAAAGTGCCATCTCCACTGGAAGTTAGGAATTCAGTGTAAGATTTTTGGACAGACATAATTTAGTCTATTTTTCTTTTTTTTTTTTTTTTAAACTTTCTTTCAGTACCAGGGATCAACTCCCTGCTTGCAAGGCAGGTACTTATGCCGCTGAGCTAAATCCCCAGCCCCCAATTTAGTCTATTTTTGTATGTGGAAAAATAAATGTATGGGAAAAAGAATAATACAGACATAATCTAGTTAAGTATTTTGTATTTTTGGTGTTTATGTTGTTTCTATTATTTTCTTGAAGGTCGCTTTTAAGGGCGATCCAGAAGCAGCTCTCATTCAGTACCTTACCAATGAGGAAGCCAGAAAAGCCATTTCTAGCACGGAAGCTGTTCTAAACAACCGATTCATTCGAGTCCTGTGGCACAGAGAAAACAATGAGCAACCAGCACTGCAGTCCCCAACACAGCTGCTTCTGCAGCAACAGCAGACACTGAGTCATCTCTCCCAGCAGCAGCATCATTTGCCGCAGCATCTTCATCCTCAGCAGGCACTGGTGGGCCAGGCTTCTACCTCCTCGGTACATGGTGGTATCCAGAAGGTAATCAGGGGCATTAGGATTAAAAAAAATCTAGTTTCATGCTACATTAGAGCTACTTATGGTGTGATGTGGGAACTGGCAGCAAGTGGTCTCCTGGTAGGCTTTTTAGTAAAACATAGTTTAGGGCCTCATCCTATCCCACTCAGTTAGAATCTTTGTGGGCAAGGCCTAGGAATCTGTTCTGAGAGCTCTTCTACACCTTAGTTTGAAAAGTGATATTATACATGAGAATCATTTACTTAGGTGCACATTCCTGGGCCTACATGTAGTTCTAAATTTATAGTAGTTAGATATGAGGCATATAAATGTATACATTAAGAAACACTTTTCGGGGGCTGGGGATTTAGCTCAGTGGCATAAGCGCCTGCCTTGCAAGCAAGCAGTCCTGAGTTCGATCTCTGGTACCGATAAAAACGAAAAAGACCCCCCCCCCCCAAAAAAAAGAAACACTTTTCATTGGATGTAGTGACACATAACTCCAATCCCAGATACTTGGGCAGATAAGCAGGAGAATCAGAAGTTCAAGGGCAGACTGGGCAACTTAGTAAGATCCTGCCTCAAAATAAAAAATAAAAGAGCTGAGGATATAGAAAAATTCTGTTTTAATACTGGAATAGAAGTTTAGGGATATAGCTGAGCAGTAGAATACTTGCTTAGCGAGTGTGAATGCCAGGCTTTTGTACCTAGAAACTGGAATAGACTTTCCAAGAGAATTGGTATTGGGGCTGCTTTGTTCTTTCTTTCCTAGTGCCTAAAGCAGTATTTGTACATATTTCTCAAAACATTAGAAGAAAGGAAAGAACGAACTACTATGTCTTAGAACCTTTCATATATTGATCATTATATTCTCCACCTAAATATTCTCATGTTTAGATTAAATGCAGATTTAAAGTATGTAGTATTCCATTTATTATCCTTCTGATTAGCATGAAAATGTTCATTCACTTTTTGTCTACAATCCCATATTACATTTGAATTCAAAGGTGAATGTTTGAATTCAAAGGTGAATGCCATATATGTTGGATGAATAAGGAAGAAAAGAGTGATGCTATCCCCTCTGTAATTATTAGATCATCTACCATTATTGTAATTTAAGATTGCCATATGTTTTTGAGATGATTGTGTCACGGTTATTCCTGCTTGAACTGTTGGGGAAAACCCCATCTTCTGAGTACTGTGTGTTAGGTGGAACATTTTTCATTGCTGCTGGAGATCGAACCCAGGGTCTCATGTATCTAACCACATATTCTACCACTGAGCCACACTCCTTAGTTTTGTTTTTTTTTTTTTTTTTTTTTTTTTTTTTGGTACCAGGGACATGGGACCAGGTGCTTATGCCGCTGAACTTAGCGTTTGTGATACAGTGTAGACATCCAAAAAAGTATGGATAATGTAACATTGTCTTTTGTAATAAAACCGTACAGATAATTGGAGCACACTCCCACTCCCTTAATCTTAATTCCCAAGATAGTCACAGTACCTTAAATTTGTATCATTCTTGGGCATCTTTTTAAACTTTTACCACATATGTGTTTGTTTTGTATGTGCAGATGATGAGCAAACCACAGACATCAGGTGCATATGTTCTTAACAAAGTTCCTGTCAAACATCGTCTTGGACATGCAAGCGCTAACCAGAGTGATACGTCACTCTTGTTGAATCAGTCTGGTAGCGCTGGGGAAGATTGCCAGGTATGCATTTCAGTAAACCCACTGTATGCATGAGTACGTGTAGTGTATTTAGGAGTCAGTGGCACAGAGAAACAGACTGGTTATCATCTGGATTTGTAATGTCCTACCTCTCAGCCATGTGTGACAGTGTGTGTCCTCCCTAAGTTTCCATGCCTCAGTCAGAAACTTGGTCTCAAAGAAGTTTTTTAATTTAAAGATAATTAGGAATTGGAAAATTTTAGCTGTTTTATCAATAGGTAGATATCTTTATTAATTATTTTCCTCATTAATAAAGTTAACACAGCAAAGGGAATTGGTTGGAAAATAATCTTTTCAGCAAAGGAAAAAAATCTCAATACTAAAACCAGTGCAGTAAAGATAGTTACTCCTTGGTGCTGGCAGTCAGATGTGTGAGCTAACTATCTGTTTATACTTGAGTATAAACAAGTAGCAAATGATTAAGAGTGATATTAAGATAGTTCCAGATTGCTGTAATTCTGTGAAACGTTTTCAACAATTTGAAGTATGAGTTATTTCACTTATGAAAAATAACTTATGACAACCACTTCTAGGCAAAGATCATTAGCAGCAACCTGTTGTCAAAAAAGAAGTTTTTTTTGAGACAAAATCTCACTATGTAGTTCAGGCTGGCCTTGAACTCACTGTGTGACACATGCTGACTTCAAACTCACAGTGATCCTCCTGCCTCAGCTTCATGAATGCTGGGATTATATAGACATGTGCCACGATGCCCAGCTAAAAGAAATCATGATTTAGTGAGTATGAATATTAGCAATGAAACCATCTGTGTTAAAAGGACTTATTTTTGGGTTTGACCTGTGATTTGGGATAGGATTTAAAGAAACTATATTGAAGACCTTAATAACCCTGACCTAGAACAGAAACTCGAGGGTGGTCTAAAGCTGTAGTCAGTAATGAGATAACAGTCATTCATATCAGCCTGTTGGAGTGGTTACGGTTATTTTTATGGTTTGGATGATAATTATGCTTTTGTTGTGTTTAGTCTTATTTATGCAGTGGTCTTGATTTTGTTTTGATCTGACACAGAAGAATAGCATTGCCTAATGTGGATATTCTCTGAAAATTGTGTTTACAGAAGGGTGTTAAGGCTTATATGTGAGTGACAGGTTGGCTCTTAGGTGTTACAGGTTGCTGCTTTTCTCACAGTTAAAATTTAAAAATAAAAATATGGTACTGCAATTAGAAATAAAATATTAAGGCCAAAAAGTCTATTCTTCATAGCAACAACTACATTTATGTATGAATAGCTATTATAAATGAAGTTTTTAAATATTAAAAATTGAACTCTAAGGAGAACAAAAATATATAGTCTTTCATAAATCATTTAAACATGTACAAGACTTAATATTTGTATTATTTTTGTTTTTTTAGATATTTTCACCTCCAGGCCATCCAAAAACAACGTACAGTTCCTCAAACTTAAAGACATCTTCAAAACTTTGTACAGGATCTAAATCTCATGATGTTCAAGAAGTTCTTAAAAAAAAACAGGTAAAAATCTTGAGTTCTTGTTTTACAGTAAAGGACCTGCTACATTCATGGCAAGTGTGGTGTCACTCACACACTTGTAATCCCAGCACTTGGAGCTGAGGCAGGACAGTTGCTTTGAATTTCAGGCCAGTGTGGGCTCACAGTGAATTCAAGGTAGCCTAGATTACACACAGCAAAATCTTGTCTAAAAAAATTAATAAATTCTTATGTGCTTATGTTAATACTTCTAAATCAGTTTATGTTGTTGTAGAATTATTTGATAATGCTTACAACTTCTCCATTTACTGTATACTTGAAAAATAAGATGAGCAGGACTAGGCATGTAGCTTAGTGATGTGTACTTGTGTAATATTTGTAAGGCCCCCAGTTCCATCCCTAGTATTGAGGAGAGGAAACTAGAGACACAACATAGAAAAAATGCTTCACAGTTGTCTCTTAGTGACCACCAGGAATACTTTTTTAAAAAATTGAACTCAAGGTCTGGCACTTACTAATAAGCATATGCTCTACCACTGATCTAAAAAATTTTTTTTCTGCACCATTTTTCTTTCTTGTAGTGGTGGGGGTAGAAACTAGGCCTGGCACATGCTTTCAAGTGCTATACCTCTCTGATACACTCTTAGGTCAAACCAGGCACTTTTTTTTCTAATTCTTTCTTGGTTCTGTAAATTAGATAATGTTTCACATAAAGTATAATAACATTTATGTAACTTTTATTTGTGTAACTATAAATATTTGTGTATTATTGAGTTCTGAGTTTTATTTTCACCTTTGTGTTATCCTAGTCACAGGATTTTTCAAAGCTATTTATATATACTTACATATACTTAGTACAGAGATGTAGTTCTTAGGAGAGGAAAAGCAAAATTTTCCTGGCTAAAACTCATAGACTGATAATTTCTAACCTATAGCTGCGTCATGTATTTTTAAACTTGGAGTTTCAAAAAAGAATTTGTCATATAACATTAACAACAGCTTTTTCTTCAAAGATGTTAGACAAACCTCATAGACATATCTAGTCAGTGTCCAATCTCTTAAATGTTTTTCCAAATGTTACCAATGTAAACTCTAATACTGAATGTGTTGAGGAAAATACATCAAATGCTTGATCTTTCACTTCAACTATTTTTATTTATTTAATTTTAGTTTCTGGTGTTTTTGAGACAGGATCTTGTTATGCAGTTCAGTTTCGTCTTCAGCTCACTTTGTAGCCCAGGATGGCCTCGAACTCACAGCCTCCTGCTTCAGCCTCCCAAGTGCTGGGGTTACAGATGTGTACCACCATGTCTGGCCTCAGCTATTTTTTAACTAGGAGGAAAAACCTGTTTTAGAGAAGATGACCTAGAAACAAATGAGTTAAAAATATGTATAGTGGCATCACTGGCAGATTTTATATACATTCCTAATTTCATCTTTACCTACCCATATAGGAAGCAATGAAGCTACAACAGGATATGAGGAAAAAGAGGCAAGAAGTTTTAGAAAAACAGATAGAATGCCAAAAGGTAGGATAACTCATTATTTGCATGCTGGAATTGATGTATGAGATTGATATACAGATATTTATAATAGTAAAGTCTCTAAGGGTTGATTCATTCACCATTTTGTGTGTGTGTGTGTGTGTGTGTGTGTGTGTGTGTGTGTGTGTGTGTGTTTTGGGTGTATGGTTTGTTTTGTTTTGTAGATGTTGATATCCAGGCTAGAAAAAAACAAAAACATGAAGCCAGAGGAAAGAGCAAATATAATGAAGACTTTGAAAGAGCTTGGAGAAAAGATCTCACAATTAAAGGATGAGTTAAAAACATCGTCTACAGTTTCCACACCATCCAAAGTGAAGACAAAAACAGAGGTATCTGTTTGCAGTTTTCATTGAACATAGTGTTACTGAACATTTGGCATGTGCTTTAAAAGTATACTACAACCTTTTGGTAATTACTAGCCTAATGAAGAGATAGGCAAATAATTATAGGACAGTGTTCAGTGTTTCTATAGCTGGTACTTAATTTTCTTTACAAGAGGTAATACCATTTGAACAGAAATGTGTTTTGGATTTTTGTTGGTGGTGGGTTTTGGTGCTGGAGATTAAACTTGGGGCCTTGCATGTGCTAAACAGTTATTTAGTATTGACCTACTATACCCACAAACCACAGAGATATGTTTTCATTGATTTTTTTTCTTTTCTTTTCTTTCGTTCTTTTTTTTTTTTGTACTGGAAGTTGAACTCAGGACCTTGTACTTGTCAGGCAGTTAGTTGATTGTGCCACTAAGCTATATTCCCAGCCCTGTTATCGATTTTTAATAAGTAAAAATGTGGGTTGCTATTGAAAAGAGTAATCAGAAGTCTGTTTAAATAATTTCTACTCATTTCCTTATTCTAGGAGAGTACTTGCTTTACTTAGAGGTTCCATTATACCACAGCTCCATAGTGGGATTTTAGATAATTCCAACCATTTGAGAACTGAGAATTAAGTTTGTCACCTGTGTTAGAATGTAATTCTTGAACACAGTAAATTACATTTGAAATTAGGGCTCAGTGCAGTAATATACAGTATTAAGGTTGCTTTTTTTTGTGGGGGTGTGAGGATAAGGTCTTGCCATGTAGTCCAGGCTGACCTTGAACTCACGGTGATCTAAGTGCTGGGGTTACAGTGTGTTCCACCATATGTGGCTAAAAAAATTATTTTTATTGAGATTTTCTCAAATTATAGAAGTAACATGTACTAGTAGTGCTTTTGTTGTTGTTTTAAAAGAACTGAGGTCTCCCTGTGTTGCCCAGGCTGATCTAGGCACTTAAACCACCATGTCTCACTACATATGTTTTAAAAATGGAGAGTGCATGGGGGGAAAAAAATCTCATAGTTATACCTCCCACAGACCAGTAAATAATTTGTCTCATATGAAAGAGCAATAGCAGTTATAGGGCCCCAATCTGAAAGTAATTCTATAGCTATTACATTTTTGTTGTTGTTTGAGACAAGGTCTTGCTGTGTAGTTTAGGCTGGCCTTCAACTAGCTCACTGTGTAGCCCAGGGTGGCCTCAAAACTCACAGCAGTCTTCTGCTTCAGCCATCCAAGGACCAGGGTTATAGGTGTTAGCCACCACACCCAGCTTTTTTATACTTCATTATGTGAAAATTATTCTTAACTCCCTCATCTACTCCCAGGCCCTAGATTTTAGCCCACATAATAAAATAATGCTGCTTGTTTCTTTCCAGTTTTATGGTTATGCTGTCTGTATAATTGCAGTATCATAACTGTAAAGTTACTTTCCTTAGTGTACTTGTGTTTGTTATCTCCTCTTGCTGATTTTCCCAAAAGAAATATGTGTTATTTTGTAACTGTAATGTTCTGGGTAAGATCTTGGAAGTTATCTAAAAAGTACCCTTTTATTTTATTTTATTTTTTTTTTGTGAAAGGCTCAGAAAGAGTTATTAGATACTGAACTGGACCTGCACAAGCGGCTGTCCTCAGGAGAAGACACAACAGAGTTACGGAAAAAACTCAGTCAGTTACAGGTTGAGGTGAGATTTAACATCTCAAAAAACAGTTTTCTCTTCCAAGGTGTAGTCTACCTGTGTACATCACATTCCTGCCTTGTGTTGCTTTTTCAGGCTGCACGATTAGGTATTTTACCCGTGGGTCGAGGCAAGAGCATGTCCTGTCAAGGCCGAGGCCGAGGCCGAGGCCGAGGTGGAAGGGGGAGAGGCTCGCTGAATCACATGGTGGTGGATCACCGCCCCAAAGCCCTCACAGTGCGGGAATTCATCGAGGAAGAGAAAGATGAATTACTTCAGCATTTCTCAGTGAGTTTTAAAGCAGCAAATGCTAACTCTGAAAACACTGTGTTCAGCATTTTCTTTGTTGCGTTCCCCATAAATAGCAGATGTCTTACAGAAAATCTAGTTGGAAAAACATAGATATTAGCAAATTTTTATTAATGTATTTGAGATCAAGGAGTAGTGTAGCTCTTGCTGTATAATTCCATACTCTCCATATAAATGCATTTGTAATGACATGTTGTTCCAAAACTAAATTTGATTTTTGCCTTAGAATTATTACAGGTATTGTATTGATAAGTGAAAATAACTGGGATAGAGGCAAAAATTTAAAGAAAACTAATTTTAGAATAGCAAGCATGTTTAATTATATTCTATATGCAGTGCTAACCACTTTTAAGCAATAGAGATTTGTTATGGGCAAATGTCTTCATTCTTTTGCATATATACTGAGTAGTTCTTTTCTCAATTATTCATTAATTCATTCAGTAAATACTGAGCTGGAACATTTTCATTCATGCTGTCATTTAATATTAAATAACTGTAAGTGTGAAAAACGTGAAACTATATCTGTGTGTAACTTAGTGTTCAGATGGGAGAGCCAGTGTTTAGTGTCATCAAGGTCATAGAGGTAATACAGACCAGAATCGGAATAAACACATTGTGTTCTCAACTTTTTTGAGGGAAAATATTTTCAGCCCTATTATGTGTTAAAGATGGTAAGAGAAATCATGAAGAGCAAGGCCTCACCCCAAGTGTCTAATAAGCTTAATGCTCATTAATACTGTTTTACCCTGATGCTTAGACAATGAAAAGCTTTCATAGTGTCCAGATCTGAGTCATCTGGCTGAGACCAGTTTACTCATGACTCAGTTCTTTGTTAGTATAATACTTTTTTCCTTTTTTGTAAAGTTGGAAAATAGCTTTTTCGAGGAGTAAAGAAGTTTATATGGGCAAATTGCTGTGTTAGGGTGGGACATTTTGCCTTTGTTTTTTGTCTTTGAGACGCTTTTGCTGTGCAATTCAGGCTGGCCTTGTTCACTTTGTAGCCCAGGCTGGTCTCAAACTTGCAATGATCCTTGCATCTCTCAAATGCTGGTCGTGTGCCACCGCACCTGGCACCTTTCCATAACTTCCAAAAAAAAAAAACCCTACTTGTTATGGAAATATATTTGATCAGTCTGCAATGTGACTTGCAGTCATAGGCATATACATGCATTCAAGGAGGAAACCAAAGCTAAGGTGGATGAGGTAATTTCAAGAACAGAGCCATTACTTTTGATAGTTTATTTGGGGGAGGTAGAATAGTATACTCGCTGATGATCTTAAGTACTAGGAACATGCATACCTGAATAATTTACTTAATATACTTTCTTTAAATAATCTTGGTACATTATTGTATTTACCACATGTAATTTTATATCCCTTAAAGGCCAAAATAAAACCTGTATTTTCAGTGGTTTTTTATTCTTCATAATTGTGGAAGAATGATGGATGAATCGTATTTGTATAAAAAAAATAATAGGTTACACACTTCAGAAGTGTAACGAATTCTGGAGTCTTTCAAAGGACTAAGAATTTATCAGAGGAAATTATGGTTGTACACAAATGATACCTACAAGAATTCTCATTGTCACAGTGTCAGTAGTGAAAGTGGGAACCACATAATTGTTCAACAGTACTCATCTAATGTGTTGGGATTTTTATGTCCTTAGTACTTATAAAACACATTTTTGAAGATTATTTAGTGACATGAGAAAAATTTTAGAATTTACTAAGTAAGAAAGAAAATTGCACATAAACTAGAAATGAAAGTATATTAAATTGTTCTAGAAATTCAAGAATTTTAAAATTCTTTTCCTTCCAAGCACTTCTTTATTTTTTTTTTTTCCATTAACTCGCCTGCTCACTCGCTCCCTTTCTTCCTTTCCTTTCCTTTCCTTTCCTTTCCTTTCCTTTCCTTTCCTTTCCTTTCCTTTCCTTTCCTTTCCATTCCTTTCCATTCCATTCCATTCCATTCCATTCCATTCATTTTTCATTGATTTGTGTTTTGAGACAGGCTGTCACTCTGTAGTGTAGGCTGGCTGGCCTTGAACTCATGGCAGTCCTCCTTTCAGCTTTGCAAGTGCTTGGGATTACAGGCATGTGCCACCATACCTACCTTACTATTTTTATATTAATTAGTTTTTATGGGTACATTTTAGGTACATTGATTAGTTTTTATTTTTAATGATCACATTCATCATAAGGCATTTGTGGCCATACATGCTGCAACTTGATGCTTTTTTTTTTTTTTTTTAACTTCTTTTAAAATCAGACTTTTGACCTCAAGTTTCCTTTTAGGATTAAACCATTAGTATTTTTATACTATATGTTTTTTAAGCCAAATTTAAATTTTAGAGAAAATTCAGGCCATATGTTGGAATTTTTAGGTCCTTAGTATTTATATAAAATATATATATAAACTAAAGTGAAAGAGTTGGGGGTGTGGCTCAGTAGTAAAGTGTTTGTGTAGCACACTTGAGGGTCCTGGGTTTAATCCACAGCACCGCAAAAAAATGAATTTAAGTACATACAAATTATAGAATATTTAATATGCAATTTATAATATATGTAACACCAACAATATGTACATTAATATATAAAAGCATATGTCAAAAGTTGGCAGAATTTTTTTATTTTTTCTTTTTCCTTTTTATCGGTACCGGGGATCAAACTCATGACTGCCTGCTTGCAAGGCAGGTGCTTATGCCGCTGATCTAAATTCCCAGCCCCTAGAATTTTTTTAATAAAAGATCAGATAGTATTTTGAATTTTTGTGGACTATGTAACAATTTTTCTTTCTCTTAAACTATTCTGTTTTCCTCTTTCATCTTCTACTTTCTCTTTTTTTAAAAAAATAATCTTAAAAAATAAAAACCATTCCTAGTTTATGGACCATTACAAACAGGGTGCTGAACCCGCTATGGTGGTATGTTCCTGTACCTTGGTACTTAGGAGATTGAAGCAGGAGGATTTCTCAAGCCCACAAGTTTTCTGAGACCATAAGTGACCATACAGTGAGACCCTGTTTCATAAAACAAAGAAAAGCAGGACTATTTTTGGCCTAGAGAGCTGTAGTTTACTGACCCTTGGTATTTGTTACTATATTACTCTGTATATAAAATATTTAAATTAAAAAATTTTGCTTTAAAATATGAAATATGCTGTTGTGTACTATATGGATAGAATTTTGTATGTTTTAAAAATTTAAAAAACATACAAAAAAATTTTGTATGTTTTAAAAATAGTAAGTTCAGAAAGAATTTTTTAAAAAGAATTCGTGCACACACGTGCACAATATTCTACCTAGGGTCTTTGCATTGAGCCACAACCCCCCAGGCCTCTTTTTAAAAGTTTTTATTTTGAGATAGGGTTTCATTAAATTACTGTGTTACCCACTTTGGGCTTGAACCTAGTTTTTTGGCTTTGTTGTGTGTTCTTTTTCTTTTTCCATGTGAATTTATGCCTTCAAAAAGTAAAATACTATCCTGCTATCATTTCATTGGGGGTGAGGGTATGAAATTTCTTTATAATATGTAATCAGTCCTCCATTGTTAGCCAGAAAGACCTTTGAGTCTAAAGATAGTAAGAAATTTAGAAATCTGAGTTTCTGTGTCCTCCAAAATATGTATGTAACATGTATATTTTTACGGTGAGAACCTATTTCCTAAGACCTTTGAGTCCAAAGATAGTAAGTATATAACATGTATATTTTTACGGTGAGAACCTCTTATTTCCTACTCCTGCTATTCCTAGACTTTGTATAAGGTAACTGAGTATTTGTACTATAATTACTAAAGCTTCTCATATTAAGTTAGCTTGTCCCCATGGCCTCTCTCTAAACAGAGTTTTTCTTTCCTCAGTAGAGTCTGAAAATACATTTTGAGAGTTTTACTACATATGGAGGTAATATCTTATAATTAGGCATGTAATTTTCTTTTGTGTTTATTAGAATAACAGTTACCTTTTCTGTGACTTCAGTCTTTGGGTAAATTTTTCTGGATAGTCCTTCATTGATTGACTCTCATCAGACTTTGTCAAACATCTTTAGTAACGTAGATGTTTTTAAACTTCTGAGGATTCTTCAGATAAAAATAGCATTTTGGTAGCTAGTTGTAGTTGTCACATATGGCAACAATAATTCTGTGACCTTTACAAAGTTACTGTAACCCTAACCTTTATTTTCTCTCAATTAAAAAAAAAATATCTTTATAAAAGATTATTCCTACTCTTAGGACAGTCAAACAACACAAGTTACCAAAGGGCACATACTAAATCTGAAATTTCATCAATTACTTTTTTTTTTGTCTTTCTCTTTTTTATCGGTACCGGGGATCGAACTCACGACTGCCTGCTTACAAAGCAGGTGCTTATGCCGCTGAGCTAAATCCCCAGCCCCCTCATCAATTGCTTTTTAAAAAGCATCTTTTTGGCCCCATAACTATGATGTATATATATGTATATGTGTGTGTGTGTGTGTGTGTGTGTGTGTGTGTGTGCATGCCTGTGTTAATGGTAAAGTGACATTTTTTGTCTACTTACGAACCATTGCTTTACACAAGTTCCTAGAACTGGAATAATTGCATCACAGGCATACATAGTTAAAAATCTAGTACAGCTTGTCGAGCCTTCAAGGGCAATTTTCTCATAATGACATTGGAAGAGAATACCTGAGTGTCTCTGGCCTTATGCAAGTATGTTTACTTGCATTTATTTCTTCATCTTTGCGAGTCAGGAGACATTGATGAGTGATAGGCATAGATTTGGCTTCAGTTTCTGATTTGGGAAAATAGCTGGACATGAATTTTTCTCTGAGAAATTTCTGCTTAAAAAGTTTGAAGAGCCCTAGGCTACTGTATGCAACTTTTAAGTTGAATTACTTTGTTTTCTTGACCAACACACATGTATAAAACTAAGAGGAGTCTAAATGTGCACTACAGTGGAAAATGACATTCCCTTTTACGTTCAGTAGTTAATTTCACTTGAAGATAATTTTCTGCATGTATTATTTGTTCTTTTATAGGAATAGTAGCATATTATACAAACATATGTTCTTTTCACTTAAACACTACAGTGAGTGTTTAAATGAAAAAAAAAAAAAAAACCTCCCCACAATAAAAGACATATTGCTGAGAAAAAAGGAAAAAGTTTGTTCGAAGTAAGGGGGAGAATTTTGAGGAGGAGTAACATGTTCCCAACAGGACTGTAATTTGTATGTCTCGCCTGGTGGCTCTGAACCACTAGTGGTACTGATTATCCCATCCGGCAACATGGAGCAGTCCCATTAGGTAGTACAAGCTGCCTGATGGGATAATCATGTGTGTGCTACCGGTGATTCAAGCCAGTGAGAATGTGTTAAAGGTGATGTGTTAAACGGTCTTTGATTGTCATGGTATTTTTTTATTTAAATACTTTTTGATTACGTTTCATATGTTGGATTGTTACTAGGGATTTTATACTTTTACCTTGTTAGGTATTTCAGTTATTTTAATGAACTTTTTATAAGCAGTGTTGTTGTAAACATCTTTGAAGTTATCATTTACTACATATGTACACACATTTTTGCGGGATGTCTGTGGAATTGCTGAGTGAAGAATATGAGTTTTGGGTTCTCACTAGTTTGATTCTCACCAGTGATATATGAGGGATCCTGACTTGGTATCATTAGAGTATATCTTTATTCTGATTGCCAATCTTTTTTGATTTCTTACAAGTTAGACAGTAAGAGTTATTCATTCTTAGCTCCAGACAGCATACAAATTGAATTTCCAACTGGGCATGGTGGTGCACACTTACAGTCCCTTCTGCACAGGAAGATGGGGTGGAAGAGCTTCTTGAGTGCAGGTGTTCTGGGCTATAGCGCGCTATGCTGATTGAGTGTCTACACTGAATTCACAGTGTTGATTCTTGGGAACAGGGACCCGTTTGCCTGCAGAGGGATGAACTGGTCAGGTAGGACAGAGCAGGTCAAATTAAATTTCTAGTTCTTTCAGTATTAGGTATATAATCCTTGTAATGCCTTAAAATTCCCCTTAGAGGGCAGAATTGCTACCTTTTTTTGAGGACTACCTTTAAAATCTTTATCACACCTTAAAATTTAGTATATTTTTGTTTTAAAATTCAAATAACAGAATTGACCCAAACAAGCAGTGACAGCCTCTCTGTAACTGAGCTCTGTGTTGAAAGGATAGAAATAATGGTACAGGTACCTATTAATACATCCCTAATGGTGGTAAGTATGTATCTTTGGATGGAACCTCATTTTGGCATATCCCCAAAGTCAAAATGTTTGTATTAGGTTATAAGCTTTCAACCTTCACAAGGAGTGGTTGGAATTGTTTCCTTAGGTCACATGACACAGGCGGTAATTGACCTGTTAAGACTACATGATGTGGTTCAAGTGTTGTTTGGCAGCATTTGGCAAATGTTTCTTAAGGTTTGTCAGTGATTTTCCTAGACACACTACAGTGAAACTCCAAATTAGAAAGAACCTCTTGTGTTACGTTTTTCAAAACTACCCAGTTCTGAACTCATCATCTTCGATAGAGAAACTTTAAGGAAGACTAAACATGTACTATTATGGAACTTCTTTTGTCTCTTTTGCTCTGTCTTTAAACTTTTGCCTTCTTTTGTTGAAATTTGCTGGAGAGAAAAAAATTTAGAAAGTAATACTACCAAGAAACATACCAGAGCAGTATTACCTTGAATTAGATAGAATTGAAAAGGTGAATTGGAATGAGCTTGTCTTAAATAGCGTCATTGGAAAGGAAATAGGAGGAGCTGTATCAAACGTAAATAGAGCTGTGAGAGATGAAGTGAAATGAATGCGATGATTCACCTTTTAAAAAAAATTATATAAAAGGTTTGAATCTAAATATGTAAGTAAATGTGAAGGTCAAAGGTTAACAATTAGGAGAATATCTGTCCTTCTGGGGATACAGCTCAGCAGCACAGTGCCAGATTGGCAAGCTTTAGGTCATGAATTTGATCCCTGGTACCAAAAACAACAACAAAAATCTGTCTGTGTCATGACTTCTATAGTAGTGACTATATAGTGTATTTCAACCAAGACAGATGCTAAAATTTACCAGACATATATGCAAACATTGGATTATCGTAGGCAGATCAGAACATATAGTTGCTCTAATTAAAAGCGACTTCATTATTTTTAGAATGTGGATCCACCTTATTAAGAGAGCACCCTGTGCCCCAAATCAGCACATAATTTGAAGAAATCATTAGTAAAGATGACTGCAAACTTACATGTTCCTCTACAATATATTTTAGGCTGCAAACCAAGGTTCAAAATTCAAAGACCGTCGGCTACAAATATCATGGCACAAACCCAAGGTACCATCTATATCCACTGAGACAGAGGAAGAAGAAGTCAAGGAGGAGGTAAGTGTAATGATTGAAAAGTAAGAGTTGGATAAGATCACTTCCCAGTTACATAATTTTCTTAACATTAAATAGTATAAACTGTAAAAAGGAGTTTTCTTTCAGGCATGCAATTAAGACCATTCTGAAAGCCATAGTCAAACTTTTGTTTTTTGGTACTAAGAATGTAACTCATGACCTTATGCTTGCCAAGCAGGTGCTATGCTACTGAGCTATATTTTTGGCCCCCAAACTCTTAAACTACATAGGAGTTAATTTTACTTTTTGACTGTTGTATTTCTAGTTTACTCAAGTGAATCCTTAGAATTTGCATTGCAGATTCTTCTTTTTATAGTGCTGGGAATTGAACCCAGGTTCTGGGGGTGTTGTAAGCGCTGCTGAGCTGTGTCCCTACCCTGGTAAATGTTTTCTGAACTATATTCATACCTACATTTCTGAGACAAAAGCAGTTCCTACATTGGTGCAGACAGAGCAGACCCAGAAGCTAGAGGGGCATTCATACCACAAATGGGGTCCTGCAAACCTGGTTTTAAACCAACCAGATCTGTGCCATGAGGCTAAAGCAACCATGTATATGTACCTAATCTGTTTGGTCACCTTTTTCCTTTTAGTAAAGCTTTCCAAAGGGTCTAATCAGACTGGTTTTTGGGCACTGTTACCTAGGGGGTACTGGTAATAAATATTTTGTCCAAGCTTTTAGTTTGTTAGTAGTAAAGCCTATAAAGTATTTCACATAAAATCTGTAACAGTGATGGCAACCTTTTATAACTTTCAATAACAAATGTCCTCCTGTGGCATGTATGCCATAAGTTTGCCACCACTGAGCTATAATAGAACCAGCCTCTCTCAGTTGTTAGCTGCTAACTTTTTTGCTTTCCTCTGCTCAATCTAGTCAAGGAAAGGTGGGACCTCCTGTTCTGGGTATGTGTGTAAATATAATGGCATCCTCCTAATTAAACCACCAAGGTGATAGTTAAAGAACGAAAGTAGATATGTGTCCACCCTTTGTCATTAAAACAATGTGCCAATCACATCACTGTTTAAAAGGGATAGGAAACACTACAAAGCCCCATGTTGTTCTTGACAGAACTGCAACAGGTTACAAGCTTACCTCAAGATTAGAGACTTGTAAACTTGGCCCACCTCTACACCACAAGGGAGCCCAGCCATCTGTAGTCATTTGGGGAACAAATTATTTCTGAGTCATTGTCTTGGTTTTAAACATGTTACATATTTATAGTTGATCAAATGTCTTTTGACTGGGTAATTTTGCGTAACAAAAGAATAAATGATACACATATTAAAAGAAAGTCTTGATGTTTAGCTAATGATTAGTGGTACTACTTTGGGTCAGATGGTATTTGGTATGAGCTGGGCATGGTGGCACATACCCACAACCTCAGCACTCAGGAAGCTGAGGCAGGAGAATTACAATGAGTTCAAGGCCAGTGAATAGTGAGTTCAAAATCAGTCTGAATTACATTAATATGAGGAAGTCAGTATATTCACTTCTTACGAATTGGATAACTATGAAAAGAAAGATTTAGGACTTTGACCGTTTTCCTTATTTTTAAGTTAATGAAATAAGGTAATGTATGTTTTCCTGATTTTATAGTTTTGGTTTGGGTTTTTTTTCTTTTTTTCTTTTTTTTTTTTTTGTACCAGAAATTGAATTCATGACCTTATGCTTGCTGTGCTGCTGAGTGTTTTCCTGATTTTAGAATGGAGATCTACTATTGCAAAATTAGTAGAGGAAAAAAACTTCATATCCATTTTTAAAATGTCTTGAGCTGGAGAGAGATTGTTTAAAAAAGAGTGCAAAGTCACAGCTAGATAGAAAGAGTTAAGTGCTAAAGGATAGTTACAATTAACAATATCATGTAATTCAAAATGGGTAAAAGAAAGGATTTTTAATATTCTTGTCACAAAGAAATGCAAATCTTTTGAGGTGATGCAGAATCTCAGTATCCTGAGTTGAATATTCAGTGTTGAAGTATACCAGAGCATTACACTGTACCCTATGCAGATGTACTGTTGCTACCTGTCCAGAAATGTTTTTTCTCCTGTTTTGTTTTGAAAGATACTTTACATACCACACTTGAAAATCTGACCTGGGCTTTGTACACTGTTTTTCCTATGGCCTCAAGGTTTTTATTTAATGTTTATTACCACTCACTCAGTTTTATTCTCTTTTTTCCTCAGGAAACAGAAACCTCAGATTTGTTCTTGCATGATGACGATGATGAGGATGAAGATGAATATGAGTCTCGTTCATGGCGGAGATGAAATCTGACTCGAGCTATATAATTTTTAAGAATACTGTTTAGAAGAACAGCTTTTAAAAATTATTTAAAGAAGTCAATGAGCCAAAAAAAGTTTTTTATTTTTCTTTTCAACACAGTAGGTTTAAGGACAGCAAATTTGCTATGTAAACACATCTCATAATTAATTATACATGATATTAAAGCACCAAAGGCCTAGTGACTTTTAACAGTTACCAAGATTCACAGAAATAACATGGATACTCTCTAGAGCCTTATTTTCCACACCACCCGTTTTGTTGCTCTTGGTGTTGGATTATGATGTAAATGACAGGGTGTTCACAAATTTTATTTTAGGTTATAATCTGCTGATAAAATTTCATTAAATGATAAAATCACCTGGAATCTCTTAGCTATTATGGATGAGTCATCAGACAATAAGAGGTATTTATAATTCAAATACCCTTTTGCTTGCAAGAGTTGTCTTGGAAGAAAAGTAAATTTTTTTTTTACTCTGGAGGAGCCTAATTTGTATTCAATCTCAGTTTTTTTTTTTTTTTCAGGGTTTTTAAGTGTAGTGAAAATCACAATAGACTATTCTTAAATAAGGCAATGGTAGCTCACTCTGGTATTTCCATCCTCTCATTGTGTTAATTCCTAGACTTGCTGCTCATTTGTGCTTTGATACTAAGTGACCATTTGTTCAGTTAGTCTTCTTATTTTTTAAACCTGAGAATGTAAAAGGCTTTCACCTGTTGCCCCTTTGTTATTCCACCCTTTTATTTATAGGCCTGTGACTTACCCATTATTGAGTTAAGTAAAACAGCTGGGCCATCAAAATCCAATCCCCAATAAAAGGTTTAAATCAGCATATTGATAAGTAAATGTTTTGATAAGAATAAAGGAAGGATTTTGGGGAAGAGAAACAGCTTTTTATTTTTCTATTTTAAAGCTTCAATTTTAAGTAATGGACAAAAGGATAATAAGTATCTGAATTTCCTTTCTTAAATTTAAACCATAACGATGAGGTAGCTTGGGAGTACAGTGGGAGTGGAGTAGGAGGCTGGGTATGCTAGAATAAATGGGAGTCATAGTGTGACTTTGATTGGATGATCCTATATTTTCATAATCTTGTAGCTTGTTGCTATCCATGAAGACATGCATCATTCAATATAGTTTCTTTTACTGTGTGCATTTTTACTGTACACTGTATAGAGTATGTTAAGTAAAATATATATGTAAATTTATGTCCTTGTGCTCTGAATGTTAGATGGAAAAGCAGAGGAGCAACACTACACTGTACTGATCCCTGGGAAAATAAAATGATTAATGTACATAGGATGTTACTTTTTCAAGGAATCACACATCTGTGTTTTTATATGTGTGTGGTGTGAAATTTTGAAATTTCCTATCGGCTTTAGAAAGTTCTTGGTTATCGCTATATCAAGGATTTTGTTTCCTGAGGTAAAGACTGTCTCAAAATATTCAATAAGAAACTATTCAATAAGAAGCTTAAAACCATCAGGACTCTAGATTCATTTAGCTATAGGAAGTTAAATCCCATGTTTTGATCATCCTTTCCCTTCATATTTTCCTGGAAGTATCAAAACCAGGATTGTTTTTACATTCATGTAATTTTCTCTTCAGAATATCTTTCTCTTTCTAGGTTATTATTACATTTGTGATAACACTGAATCTGAAATAAGCTCATAAAAGAAGGAAGCATTAGAATGGGGAACCTAGAAAAAGTTATCTTGCTCCTTAACTCCTCCATCATCTCTAATGAAATTTTCTTAATGTCTGTGGCTCAGTCAGTATATATTTTGGAAGATTCATTGTGGTGAATATTTTGAGTCCTGACAGTTTAAACATGATAGAGGGAACAAAGGATTTATATATTTTTTGTACAAAGTTTTTTCTTAAATTGTATAATTTTGTAAATAATTTGTTTGTTTTTTTTCTTTTGTGTACTAAAACTACCAGCGTATAGATTTCAATAAGAATTGTTGTATTTTTGTATTTGGAAACTGAAAATTACAGTAAATTAATGGAGCTGTAAGAAAATTTTCAGTAGACTGACAGTTTGACAGAATGAAATTCCTTTTCATATGATTTTTTTAACCTCAAAATTGACATCTTACTACTACATGTGCTATAGGGAGAGTTGAAGATTTTAGTTATTGAGGACAGGGAATGAAAGATGGGTGCTATTGTGAAGAGAACAGATAGTTTGGGTTTTTTTGTTTGTTTTAAGCTTTCAAGTCCTTTGGATAAAACTTGATTTTTAGTATACCTTAAATAGAAATAAAATACTTTAAAAATGTCCTAAGAATTCTAATGTTTGGCTTTCAGAAATGAATTGAAAATATAAATTATAAAACCTAAAACTAGCATAAAATAATTACATATTCATATTCCCCTACTTTGAAATTTTGTTTACCCCGACCCTCAAATTGCAAGTATCATATTATGGTTTGTTTTGGTGGTACCTTCATTTACGGAAATAACAGCATCAGAGACAAAATTATGCTGTTCTTAATGTATATCTTTACAAGTAGCTCATCAGCAGTAACAGCCACCAGTTTGGCTAAGTCAGACTCATTCACTAGATTTCTGCCCAAATCTAAAAAACTAACCTCATGAATGCAAAATTTCCCTCAGTTTCTTCTTGTAACTTCTGGAAAATATTGTCACCAGCTAAGACAATAAATGGGAAAATGGTCCTGTGAAGGTAGGGAAGGTCCTTGGTGATGGATCATTATTTTAAACAAGAAAAAAAAATCATGTGAAAAGGAATAGTGGTTCCTCTTGATGTATAGTATGCCTGTATTATAGTTTTTACAAAATTGTGAACTTGTGTAATAGTATAATAGGAGATATTGTTGAATTTCTAACTGTTTATACATTTAAATTCATATATGTAATGTTTGTTTTATTGATTACAATCTGAATTTCTAAGAAGCATGTTGACTTTTGCAATAAAGATGCAATATGGAATGGTTCACAATTTGGAAAAAAAGATGAAAGTATTACAAATTTAAAATAATTTGGAAAATTTCTGAACCATTCCAGAAATTATAACAATCACCAAAAGAGCTGTAATTCTGGCTTGTTCTGGAAAGAAAGAAAATGTGTGTGTGTGTGCTTGCATGTGAGAGAGAGTGAGTAGGGGATATGCATGTGTGTTTTATGTTGGGTTCATGTATGTGAGAATATCACAATATGAAGGTTACGTGTGAAGTCATTGTGTGTTAAATATTCAGTAGAATTCCCTCAGGAAGTTAGTCTGGAGAAGGATGTTGAAGTGTTCCTTTAAGTAACCTTTGATAACCATATTGTTTGAATCATTGGTAGCTATTGGAATGCCAGATATCAAGCACAAAGATTCTTCAGAAGCAATTATTTTAATGTTTTGAAGATAATCAATTTGCCTGCCAACAGGAAGAAGGATATTTTCCTTAAGTAGAATAGGGAAAAGGGGGAAAAAAACGTGAAGGAGAGATGACTTCTAGATACATCAGTTCTGATGTGGAAAGTGTAGCAGAAGGCTACACCCTGAGGACCACATGGTGCTGGGGAAGGGACGCGAAGCCTGGCAGTTAGGCGTCTCCTGTTTGCTCATTTAGAAAACTTCTATTTGCTAGAAGTTCCATAAATAGTTCCCTTTCTAGTGATTATGTATAGTCTAAGGCTTTTTCTGCAAGTTTCAGCTTATTCAGGAAAATACTAAAGAAGAGTATATTTTCATTCTTTTCACATAAATAATTTGTATCCATTTGTTTCTAGGAGATCATGAATAGTCCTATAAATGTTTATAATAAACATGAGACTTTGTGGGGGGCAGACATTCTGAACATTTTTATCCATTTGACAGGAACAGATGTTTTACTAAAATGGAGCTCATCAACAGTACTGATTTTCTTGGTGATTTTACTGGTTTTGATGTACATTGTACTAAAACCAATGATAAGCTGATTCATGAGCCCTAGCATATTACCTAGTGTAGATTAGGTTATGTTACAGTCAATACAGATATGATTGTGTATGTCAGTGTATAGGATACTAAATTAGAGTTAGGCTTGCTTTAGATCAAACCAATATCTTGCAAGGAAGACCTCATTTTATATTTAATTTCAAAGATTTAATTAATGAGTTAACTGTGATTGACTCAAAATAAGAAAAAAGGCTAATAACAATACATGTCATGAATTACCTTCATTTATGCTGAATTGGTTTAATTGCCAAGTGAACTTTCAACAGGATCAGATATCTACCTTTCAATCTTTTCTTACCTGTTCTGCAGTCAACCTTAGGTTAACAGTAAACCATCCAGCTTTCTGAGACAGGTGACTTGATACAGGTGAAATTAAGGTCAGAGTAGTATTTGATGATTTTTTTTGCAAGATACTTAATTTTTGGTGGTGGTAGTGATTATGCTCACCTAAAATAAGCATGGAAAGCATTGTAGCTTAGTGTTTATGTTAAATTACTATTTTTGCAAAAGAAAATGCCATAATAGCTTTTTAGCTTGTTTTGGATCAAAGACTTTTTTTTTTTTTTAAAAGACTGTTCAGTCTTTTAACTGCTTTTTGGAGTTCTACTTTGACTTAGTGATTCATCAGTTTTTAGTATTTAATAGAGTTGAGTTTATGGTTTAGTACTTCATTGTTCAAAACTTATTTACTCAGTTCTTTGTCAGAGAATAGAGACAAGCCTTTTAATCATTTAGCCATGTTTCTGTTGATGAAATTTTTAAAGGGAATAAAATAGCAATAAAACAAATTGAAGCAGTGATAAGACAGTAGGAAATCTACAATAGTTACTATATTGCATATTGTCCTCTAAATAGTTGCTCTGCTTTTAGGCTTGTAAAGTCAAGTCAGTCAAACAATTCAGTTCCTCCAGAACTGGTTGCTGGAGGTGGGGGGAGTTGTTCTCCCTGAACCGAGTGCTGGCTCACAAGCAGACTTAGCTTCCTATGAAATTCCTAACGTAAAAACCTTACAAATGTAAAAATCTTATTATAGTTTCCTGCAGTCCTTGTGATTTCATTCTTAGTTTACACAGAGACAACTATTACTTAATACGTATTTTTCCCAGTTGTGAATTAGTAAGGGCTAATACATTCTCAAATTTAATTTTGTTTTGTGGTCTCATTGTTGAGGGTACTCACAGTGTTTTTAGACCAGATGCTGCCTACTCATGTAAACATGTTGCTTCTGCATAAATTATTGACTGCTAGTTCCTGAACTGTCTTCCAGCTAAAGGGTTATTTATTTACTGGAAGATTCAATGCTTCAAACATTTAGAACCTGTAGGGGGCTCCAAAAGGCAAATTTTAACCTTAGAGTGGTGACCAAATCTTTTTCATAGCAACTCTCAGTGAAACACTTTTCATGTTGTAATGTATACATACACACACAATCCAGATAAAAAGCACAAAAGCAGTTCTTAAGACCCGTTATGCAACTGATATTTTTATTCTACTTGATAAAAATTATTTTCAGGACTCCCTTGACTTTCAAAGTTATAATTTGGAAAATTGGCCAATTGACATTGCAGGATACTCAACTCATATTTAAACCACTCTTGTCTAATTTTAAATCACTCTTGTCTTCCTTGCTGTGACATCAGTATTTTGAATATAAAATGATTTAAAAAATAAAATGATGTACTTATTTTATGTGTATCTTGTTTGGGAAAATGGTCTATAGTTGGCCTTTATTCAAAAAAGTGAGATATATATTCTTAACTATTTTTTTTCTTGAACCTGGAAGTATTTTATAGTAGTTAATTTAGAAACTTTTAAAACTTGCAGATAGCTTTAGTATTTTTGTCATTTGTCTTCGAGAAAGGGGTGGAAATTTGTGTATTGGTATTTTTTATGCAATTCAGGTCCCTTCGCAGAAGGTAAGTCCATGACAGCTACAACTATTTTAAATCCATAAATCAATAAAAATTTTAGCTTTGAATTTAGTTTTGTACTTTTAAGAGTTCACCTTAGCTATAAATGATTCAACACAAATCAATTTTGATATCTGAGAAAGTTGTACATATTCTAAAATTGTACCAACTGAATTTTACTCTTCAAACATGTGCCTCTGTAGTTCATAAGAAATATATTAAACACCTGTAGTTTAACGAACTACCTTACCACTTTTATTCATCTAGATCTGACTTGTTTCTGCATTCAAGTTATTTCTTAGCACATAAGTGTACATATTTGTGGGGTTATACGTGTTTAAGTATATGTGTACCTTGTCTACTCATCAACTTGAGATAATTAGTATTTTCATCTCTAGCATTTCTTTATATTTGGAAGCGTCTAGATCCTATCTTCTAATTCATTGTAAAATATAAGGTATTGTGAACTATAGTGACTGTACTGAGATTCTAATGTACAGAACATTAGAATCTGTGTGGTTTGGTACCCATTGTCCGTCCTTCCTATCTTTTCTATCCTCTGGTAATGAATGACTTCTCTACTGTTACTACTTTTGAGATCAACTCTTCTGGCTTCTCCATACCAGAGAGAACGTGTGGCACATGTCTTTGAGTGGGCTTCCTTAGCAGTGTTCCCAGTTCTGTCCATTTTGTTGCAATGACAGAATTTCTGTCTTTATGGCTAATAATGTTACATTGTACCATATACTGTAATTTTCTTTGTCCATTCATCCATTGATAATTGAAGGGTGCCAAATAAACATGGCAGTGCAGTTCTTTCATGAAATGCTGATTTCATTTCTTTTGGATATATACCCTGAGTGTGATAGCTGGATCAAGTGGTAGATTTAATTTTATTGAAGAACCTCTATACTTTTATTCAGAAAGGCTGTACTAATTTACATTTCCCACCAAAAGTGTTTTTAAGAGTTTTCTTTTTTAGGTGAATGGTGGCACACAAGAATCGTAGCACTTGGGAGGCAGAGCTTTAGTTCAGGTACCACTTGAGCAACTTAGACCCTGTCTTACAATTTAAAAGAATAAAAATTTTAAAAGGCCGGAGATGTACAAAGGATCCTCCAGGATTACATCTACATGTATCTTCCTTCCCCCTGGCCAGATTGTAGATTGAACCCAGCAAGTGCTGAGCTATATCCATAACCGTTGTTACTTATTCATTTTTATTTTCAGAGAAGATCTTGCTAAATTGCCCAACTACGTCAAATTTGGGACCTGAATAGGTGAGACTAGAGGCATTTGCCATCATGCCCAGCTATTTTTGCTTTTTCATAATACTCTCTGATGGGTGAGATGATAACGTCACTATAGTTGTGATTTGAATTTCCTTTATGTCTAATGATTTCCTCATGTACTTGGCCATTTGTATTTCTTTTCAGAAATGTCTATTCAGATCATATTTAGTTTAAAATAGAAGTTTTAAATTTTTTGAGTTTCATAAATGACCTAAATAGTAAACCTTTGTCAAGTGAAGAGTTGTAAATATTTTTTCCACTCTTCATGTTATCTCTTCACTGTACTGATACTTTTTAGTTAAATGTAATGCCACTTGTGTATTTTTGCATCTGTCCCTTATATTTGGGGGGTCTTATGTGAAAAACCATTACTTACATCAATGTCCTGAAATGTTTCTTTCAAATTTTCTTCTAGTAGTTTACATAGCTTTTTATTACATCTGGGTCTTTGGTCGATTTTGAGTTGATCTTTGTAGTGGTAAGAGGTGAGGATCAAGTTTTTTCCTTCATTTGTTGAAGAGGTTCTGTCTTTTCTCCAGTTTATGTCTTTGGTGACTTTGTTGAGAATCAGTCAGCTGTACGTGCCTGGAATCTATTCTATTCCATGGAGCTAGACACTTAAATTTGGGCAAGTGTTAATTTACGTCATTGGATTACCTGAGTTTTCCCATTTCCTTAAATGTGATGAGAAAGGCTGAGAATGTGTGGATGAAAATGTTGCAGTGTCTTTGGAATTCCGTAGAAGAAAACCAGTAAATCTACAACATAAGTACTATGTACTTTTTTTTTTTTTAGTTCTTAGGTAATCAAATCTGACTTTACTGCAATACTATGGTACCAAAAAGTATTTTCAATTAAACTGCTTTCCACTTTCAAACTCATTTGTGTGTGTGTGTTTGTTTATGTGGTATAGGGAATTGAACCCAAGGCGTTCATTCTGTACATCTCAAACTGTTTTTTATTTTGAGATGGGATCTTGTTAAGAGATCCTCCTGCCTTAGATTCGCAGAGCATTAGGTTAAGGTGTGTAAGAGCATGTCTGGCTCAAACTTAACTTTAAACAACAATAAGCTATCATATATTTACTGTAGATTGAATGATCCAGTGGTAGGTTGAGTATTCTATTTTGCTGTCTGTGCTTACAACATTTGAGGAAGGTTCTTTTGCCTCTGTAGCTTTGAAAATAGTTTTGTAGTAGTTAAGTGGCTTCACTGAAACCACACAGCCTGTGGTGGTGGTAAGTGGCTTCACTGAAACCACACAGCCTGTGGTGGTGGGACCAGGATTTGAACACCAGTCTGACTCCAGAACTCATGTTTTTAACTTCTGGGCTCAACTGCTAATAAATGGAATATTGCAAGTCTGCGGAATGTCACTGACCCTTTTTATTAGCGTCTGTCAAACACTGCCATTCTGACTCCATCTAGCTCATCTGCCTTGGATTAGAACTACACTCCCTTGGGGAGCAGCACTGTGTTTTTAGGTAGCATATTGGAAACCATAGAGAACAGTTTATTTATGCTAATTTGTGAGGAAACACTTTAAAGTAATAATTTTCTGTGACCTCCACAATGTACAGTCAGCCAAATTTGATAATATTTCACAACAATTTAGCTATATCATAACCTATGTTTATTTTATTTTCAATTTTATCTTAAATATTTTCCTAGTGGCAAACTGAATTATGATAATGTTGCAGTATTTCTACCTTGCTTCTTTGTGTTTTTCAATATGTCTGGTGCCTTTTAACCTTGGCATTAAAAAAATCATGTATATAAATAAGATCACATGCTTTAATGGTTTTTCATATAGTGTACTGAATTTTCTAGACAGAAAATGCTGAGAATAGCAGTCTTTATTTATAGTTATACCATGGGTTTTAAAGAAATGAGTATATTCTCTGAATAAAACTGATGCTCATTAGTTTATTTATAGTAATTTGGCTTTATGTGTACAGATTATTTTATACATTCTAATTTATTGGATTTCTAGTTTTTTAACTATTTTGGCAACTAGGAAATGTTTGTTGTCTAGTAACTTTTATGGTAATAATTGTCATCTAATGAAAAGAAAGAAATTGTAATCAGCCTTGAGGGAGAAAGTGCTTTCTGTTCTTTGACAGCCCATGAGAAAACAATGCGTGATCTAGTAGGCTTGATGTTTTTAGTATACGTGCTGCCAAAGGAAGTACTCAATGAAGTTTTTCAATTCTTCATAAATTTTGTGCTGTAGAGAATATTTCCAGTATCACTATATTAGAGATAGTGGAGACAGAGAATGATTATAATCTGCTAGTAACAGAGCATGTCTTTAGAAAGATAATTTCCCCTAAAAATAAAGCTAAATTATGCTATGTGTTTTAGAAAGTATTTCTATCATTGAATGCTTAAAAATAAGCATACATGTTGTCATTAAAGAATTACCAACATGTGCTCCAAAATACTAGAGGGAAACTTTTTATACATCCTACAACTTAATTGCTTGGTTGTAACTTTTTTTTTTTTTTTGAAGAGTTTTTACTTTAGCTTTGAAGCACTTCTGTCCCTGTGATTTATTTGAATCCTAATAAATTATACATTTTGTACTTTAGCCGTTCATGTGAAAATTATTTGGAGTCATCTCAATGGAATGGTGCTGTGTGGTCTTCTGAGGCCCTGTGTCAAAGAAGTTTAATTCACTCTTAGTTTTACATTTTCAAGTGAGTATTATTGATAAATCAGATAAAACTGAAGAAAAAGTCTTTAAAGACTAAATTATTAAAATCTACTTAAGAGTGAAAACATGTAAGAACTAATTATGGAAAGCTGCTGTGTTTAGTTACTATTTTGGGGAAGTGTTTTATGGGTTATAGAAACATTGATTTCTCAGAAATGACTATACCTAGAAAAAATAGAAAAAATCTAACTAGAACATTCAAAAGTGCACGGAGCATTGTCTGTAAAGAAGCTATCTCATAATACGAGGGATTGAAAAAGGGCTCTTGCCGTGAGCCACACCCCCGTGCTTTTTGTTATATTTTTGCTTTGAAATGGTCTCACTAAGTTCCCGAGTTGTCCAGGCTGCACTTGAGCTTGCAGTTCTGCCTCAGCCTCAGAATGCTGGCACTATAGACATGCTTCCTTAGCTTACCTTGTTATGTGTCTCATGCCTTCAGTATTGGAGGTTCATTTGGGGGTTTTGATTATTTTTACTGGCAGTAGTTTTGTATTTCATAGGTCTTAGCAGAATTTTTTTGGTTTTCCTTTCTTTATGGCCCACATGTCAGAATCCACTGAAAATCTGTACACTTGAGAAGTTACTAGGTGATATGGAACTTGGGAGGCTGAAGCAAGATAGCAAGAGATTTTGAGGCCAACCTGGGCTATGCAGTGAGTTCAAGGCAGGCCTCAGCTATTATCAAGACCCTCAAAACAAAAAATAGAGGAAATATAGTTGCGGATGGTGGTGCACATGCCAGTAATTCCAGCACTTTGAAAGCAAAGGCAGAAGGATTGTGAGTTCAAGATTTGCTTGGGCTGTATAGCAAGACTTGATCTCAGGAAAACAAAAGAAAAAAATGGAAGTGTGCTGGGAATGACCTCATACTTGCCAGGCAGATGCTTATGCCACTGAGCCAACTCCCTAGTTTAGTAGTAGGGTCATCCTCTACCATACTTGGCAGAAGTATATTTTACTATGTGTGCTGTAAGTGAAAAATTGGGAAAACAGATAAGACGGGTAAAATATTCTTCACACAGCTCTTTACTGCGTAAATGACTTAATGCATATCCAGGGGAAGTAACAAAGAATAAGCCATCTCTGCCTTTTATTTGATTAATTTTCACTTTATTTCACCACAGTAAATTTTTGAGGGAGGTGTGGGGCTTGAGACAGGGTCTCTATGTAGTGCAGGCTGCCCTTGAACTCTTTTACAGCCTAGGCTGGCTTTGAACTTGCACTGATTCTCCTGCCAATATAAATACACTCCATTTTTGAATAGTACTTTTAATGTCATTGTTCTCTACATGTGAGAGGAATTGCAAGGGGAACCCTGAGGGCCCCCAGATCTACCACAGGTAGCTCAGAGCATTCCTCAACTTGGAGCATCTTTCATTCACATGATGCCCAGCAGAGCCCCAGAGCTGATGAAAATAACACTGTCTGCCATTTCATTTCTTAACATGATTCACTGTGCCACATGTTTTCAACCATTATTAATACTTCGGACAACTGTTAGTCTGATAGGAAAGGTAAAAGTTGAAGCCATGCTATGCTTGTGTCTAATAGGTCTTTGAGCTATTGCTTGATGCTGTGTTCATCTTTCAATTCTTGCTGCTTGTGGGAACTAGTATTACTTAGTCTTTTGAAAGCTCAGTTATAAAATGAGTCTCTTAATATTGCTACTCAATGTTAACAGTATTGCTTTGAGCATTAAAGATGGTGATACACTGAAAATATTTTGTGGAATGTACTTCACTATTAGCAGACCATGTAGGCGTCATCATATTGCCTGAATGGAATTATTTTTAGGTACCACTGAATTTCCTACCTTGGTTATTTGTGGAATTGCCTGAGTGCATGTGTTAACAGTGTTGGAGAGAAGGGAATACTTCATACCAAAGTTTGTACCTCTTTATCTCTTTCTTATTAGTACATGTTTGCAGTTCATGTCATTTACAGTCATCTTGGGTAGTAGTTAATGCACGTTGTACAGCTTGTTTCTTCTTTTTTAAAATCCCCCTTTTTTCTCTCCCCCCTCCTTTCCAATTTCCCTATCTCATTTTTCATTCTTGGTATTATTTGCCTTAGCTCATGTTATGGGACATAATGTTTAGATTAATTGAAGTTATTAGATTCCTCTACATGGCATAAATTTATTCTACTATTTCCCCTTCTCATGCTTTTTCCCTTGGACCACTTCTCTAATGCAAAAGATCCATCCCTTGTTCCTTCTGTCCACTCTTTTTTATTGTCTGTGTTTGTACTTTGCCTTACTCAAATGAGAGACACCATATTTTTCTGTTTGTGTATTTGTTTGCTTGAGACAGGCTTTCACTATGCAGTTCAGGCTGGCCTTGAACTGACTTTGCAGCCTAGGCTGGCCTTGAACTCAGCCTACCTTAGCCTCCCAAGTGCTGGGAATTACAGGTGTGTACTACCACACCTGCTACTATATTTAACTTTATGTGTCTGGTGTATTTTACTCAACATTGCATTTTCCAAGTACATCCATTTTCCCACAAATGCGTTAAATTTGTTATTCTTTAATGGTCAGGTAGTATTCCATTATATACAGATGACATGTTTCTGTAGTACAGCATGATGTTAATTAGATGATTAACTAGACTCCAGGTAACATTTACTAATCTTTAGCAATTATAAGTACGCATTTCATGTAGCTGTGAGGCAGCTGAATACAATATATGTTGCCATTTTACAAGTCACCTACCACAGTTGCTTGACAGGTTCCCTTTCCTGACTAAAATTTCCTCTTACCAGTTTTCTTTATACCACATGAACATATAACTGTTGCCCCAACCTTGAGTCCTTTGATTTGGATATTTATTAATACTCATCCCTCAAACATCCTTACTGGCTGTTCTATGATCTGTTCCAGCCTACTAAATTCTTTAGAGCAAATCTCTTAGCTATATACAGTAAGATTTTTCCTTGCCTCAACAATTTTGTGATATATATATATATATATTTTTTTTTCCATGTAAAAAGGCAGCCAAATTTGTGCTTTAGGGTATGACCAAAGGAAATCCATTATAGAAAAATTGATGAAACTTTTCTTATATTAAAGAGAATAAAACCAAGCAAAATGAAGCCAATCAAAATGAAACAAAATAACGAAAGCAATACTGGACTTCAAAGCAAGATAATAGGAGATCAGCAGTAG